CCACTTGGAACTAAGTTTCCTAAGACTCCACAATCCAGAGATTAAAAAGCAGGTTTACTATTCCTTTGAATGTCAGAGTCAAGTAACATTATACTTTAAGATAAAGTTGAGTAAGTATTAATTTTTAAAAGTCCAATTGGCAAATAAAAGCGAAATTTTTATGAATTATATTACTATATCCTTCACAGGGCCCAAAAAAGTAAATGATAAGTTTTACCAAATAAAAATGCTTTACAAATGACAAAGATAAAGCCTAGAATTTGTAATCAAGACAGGGAGGAAAGAGAGCTGCTTGACAAAGAAGGAGGAATTAAATATGCTATCCCCAGAAGTGGATCCTGCCTCCGAAAAAGCAGCAAGTCAATGAATGCTGCTGGCAGTCATTCTATCCTTCTCAAAGGAAATGCTGACTCTCAAAAAAAAAAAAAAAAAAAAAAAAAGACCTTGCCATGAAAAAGAGAAGCAGATGGAATAAGCAAAAATAATAATAATAATAACAACTATAAAACTATTGCAGTAGAACATCTCCAAGCATTGTAAAATTTACTATCTGACATGATAATATTTCAAAGCCATGACTATTAGGTAGCATTTGTTAATCACTAATTTGTCTTTGGTATGAAATCATTATCTACTCCATGGTCAAATAAAATATTTCTTGGCTTGTCAAGTATATGTTGGTCAAACCACCCCATCCATTCTGGGGTTCTGGTTCTGGCTTATTAATTTCAATAATATGTTCATTAAAATACAATCAATGATTCACTAGTATAATCCTAATTAATTACTAACATAAGTTTTCTTTTTTTAATTTTCAAAGATTATTCTTTGTAAGCACATTTTCTTTTTTTAAAGAACATTATTAAATAAAAAAGAATAATTCTGCTTTAGCAGAGAAAAAAACATATACAATTCTAAAACTTAAAACTTTAGATTTTTCATACTTTTTATACCTAATTTTTGCCACTTGAACCCTAATAATAGATCTTAACCCAGATATTTAACATTTTATCCAAATGTTGGACTAATACTTCCTGCGACATGTCTTTGCATTTACAGGTAGGCATATCTCATTAAAACTTGAGACTTAATATGATGTATGTATTTTTACAGAAGAATATAGCAGCAAATTGAAGCGATGAGAGGAAATGAAGTTTACAAAGCCTGAAAACCAAACTTTAATGGCTCTCGCCTGCCAAATAAAATAGCACTCTTATATTCAGTTCCAATAAAAATGACTGTTATCATCATTCAGCATCAGACATGAGAAGATAATTTCGTCAGGAATCAGAGTTGAGACAAATATTCAACTTTCTGCACAATCACTTTTCTGTATACTTGAAACTAACATAATATTGTAAATTAATTATACTTCAACTAAGAAAAATCATTATTTGAAAATACAATGGAAAATACTATGATTTCTCTACAGCAAAGACAGATTATGAGTTAAGGAAGAGCCAGGCAGATCAAATAAGTAGTTATTAAGAGTTTGCTAAATGCCCAGCATTTTGCAAAACGATGGAGGGGAAGGGAAAAAGAAATACAGAGTATGATCGCTGTTTTCAAAACTTCAGAATTTTCTTGGAGAAATCTATCCTAATATACAGAGAAGGAATGTCTTTGCTAACACAGCTTACATGTAATAGGCCCTGAAAATTGTGTATTAAATGAATGAAATGATAATGTGAGAGCAAAGACCACACACTGGAAAATGTTTACAAAGATGGTAATACATGGACAAGGTTTAAAATGCTTTTAGTAAATACTTCTAAATAATTTTTCCATACACAAAGTGAAAACAAAGTTTGGCAGAATTTTTGCTTTGCTACTTAAAATGAGACCACAAAAAGCATCGTTAATTAACCTTAATGATATATTCAATGTTTGACACAGTATCGTTAATGATGGATAGCCATATTTGATACAGTATTGTCAAAGATACTTTGTTTTTTTCTAGATGTGACAAAGTTTACTATTCAGAAGAAGAGGAGAATTTTTTAAATGGTTAAAATTGGTGTTTTAAAGAAGGAAATGCTTTACATTCTTCCTATTCAAAGAGTAGACAATGGACATGAAACATCAGAGTAGTTTACCTAAAATTGCAGACTCCAAGATACTGCTCCAAACACATAAAATCAGAACCTAGATTTTAACAAGATTTCCAAGTTATATGCATACATACTAAAGTTTAAGAACACTGCTCTATATACTTCATGTTCAAGGCATGTGTATGCATTTATAACAAATATAAGATTACTAATTAAGTGTAACTTTTTTAATTCTACCCTCTAAAAAATGGTTAAAAACAGAGCAAGTAATTTTTTAGCTCTTAAAATACAACCATAATTGTGCTAGCCCTAGTGAGGAACTCAAAAGAAGTATAACAGAGAACTCTGACATAAAATGATACACAATCTAATTGAGCACATATAAAATAATCAGAATATAATGGGCTGCTTACTTTTGACATGAGGACTATCAAATACTATAGGATGTGTAAGAACAGAACAGATAAATATGAACTAGAAAAATCACTTTGAGGGAGTAGAGGCAATCAGGTACAGAAAAATACCCTGAGAAAAACCCTTGGGTTATCCTGAGAAGTTCGATTTTATGGAAGCTGGTAAATGGGAGTCAGCTGCAGTTCTTAAAAAGCAATGACATGATAGCAATGTGAGTCTTAGATTAACAGAACGAAAAATATGTATTATTATAGGGATGAACTTGAGTCAAAAGTCAGCCTAGAAGGTGAGGTCAGAGCTGTCCATGTCAATTTGGAACTCATCAGCTTGTAGGTGAGGTTAAGATTATAGAGGTGGATGACCTTAACAAGCATTAGGAGAAAAGGAGAGAGACCCCAGCACAGACATCCAGTTCAGTAAACATTCAGTGGACAACTGTGTTGCCAGCATGGTGCTCAGCACTGCTAAAACAATGGTGACTAGGGTTTGGTCCTTGCCCTGAAGGGGCCAACTCAGTCATCTAAGGTCTGGGACTTATGCAAAAAGAAAAGGTAACAAAGAGACAAAGGAGAACCCGGAAGAGACGGTGAAGGACTACAAGAGCATGACAGCCAGAAATGCAAAGGAAGAGGGCTCTTAAGGAATATCAGAGACACCTAAATATCAAGGGAAGCAAGGATTTGGTAGAAAATCAGTCTGAAGCATTTTGAGGGAAAAAAAGTATCAGTTTATGCATTCAAATCTCTAAATTGTTTTTTTTACTTTTCCAGGCTTCTCAATTTACAAACTAAACTTCCAGAGGTAAGAAAATCCTCATGTAAAATTATTTGCAAAATAATACTTGTTTGAAGAGGACAAATACTCATAGAATGGATATGTATCACTGTGCCTTTCCTGTACTCCAAGATGTATCAAAACCACACACACACACATACCCTACAGGCACCTTGTCATCTTCTGTAATTATCTAACTGCCAAATCCATTCCCAGGGATTTATTCTTTAAGAAACTTAAAATTGTTCATAAAGGAGGCTAAAAATAGTACTGAAAGGGAAACTCAATGGTTTCCCTTGAAACATAGCAGGAGCTTTGCTTAAGTTTGGAAGGCTATAGATTTACTGTTTGTTTAATAACTAATAGAAAATGGGAATGTGCCTACTTTCTTGACATATGCTAATAACATAAAAGCCTTACCCAGAAGAAAACACACATTCAAGAAAATCTCAGGTTACCTTGCTGGATGAAAAGATGTTATTTTGCTTATTCTTGGGCAACTTCTTCCTAAAACTTATATTTTTCATTTAGAAACATAATTCTGGGACTCAACGATGTCTAAATAAAATTTAGGGATACAGAAAATCCAAATGCATTAAAGGTATGAGAAATTTTAAGGATTCTATCAAATTTACCAAGCCCAGGGTTTACCAAAACATATCAACAAAATAGCATGTCTAGAAATGAGAATAATGTCATTTTAATTGCTACAACTATAAACAATACATGGTCCAATACATGATTTAATGTCCTATATTTACATTCACCAAATTAAACCAATAAAAATAAAAACAGTTGATATTTACTGAGCAGTTACCTAATAGTAAGTACTATATGCATTTCATTTCATTTATTTGAATTCTATATTTATTTATTTCATTTATTTTCATTTATTTCATTTATTTATTATATTTATTTCATTCAATCTTGAGAACTACCCCTGGGAGATAGGGACAATTATTATCCTCATTTTACAAATGAGAAGTCAGAGATACAGAAAGGTTATGAAATCAGCTCATCACTTACAAATAATAAAACTTTACAATTAGTTAAGGAAATTAATTTAAAATTGCTATAAATTTTATAGGCTTTACTAAAGATATGTGGATGTGATATGTCATGGTCTACCATACTTGTTTTTTACATTGTCTCTACATAACTGTAACTAAAAGAAGTAATTGTGACATTGGCTTCCCAGCCCAGGTGGCTCAGCAGTAAAAAAAACTGACTGCAATGCAGGAGGCCTGGGTTTGACCCTGGGTCGGGAAGATCTCCTGGAGAAGAAAATGGTTTGAGTCCATTTCAATACCTTTTGCTGTTGTTCAATCACAGACAGGACTTATTCACAAGCTTGAATATTTATCCACATTTCAAGGAAACTGTATTTTAATTTTATTTTATGGAATTCTTTTGGATTATTTCCAAACAGAATACTTTCCATCAAATATGACCTTCTCTTTGGAACATTTATTATTTATAAGTTAGTGATATGCTTTTCCTATTATATTTTCAAATTGTCATAGTTCATTTTTTACTTCTTGGTCGAACAAATAGGTGTAAAAATAATGATCCCCCTGTAGGTAGTAGCTTCTCATCAACTCCTGAAGGCCTTTAAAATCGTATTTACTCAGATTTGGCTTGCTTTCTGATGAAATTCGTCACATTAAGTAAATACAAGACGACTGGAACTAGTACAATTTCTTAGAGAAGTTGTGCAATAAACAGATCTCATTACCAGGTATAGCATGGTGTAGCAATCACTTCCCCTGAGAGGTACTCCCAATCTTTCCAGATACAGGGACAGCTTTCAGGAATGTAACACTTTCCTTTGTGCTCTGCCATCCTTTCAAGAAGAAGCAAATGCTATTTAATATCAACTACTAATTTCAGTTTTTTAAAAAATCAGCAATCTTGTCATATTCAAAACCATCTATATTTGTTACAACAGTTGTAAGCGTGTTCTATCTAAACCATGGAAGAGTCGAATCCAGTCTTGCTCCCCTATTTTACCACACAGTATCTTTCACATCACAGAAATAAAGGCCAGGCAAATGACTGGATGCAATATTTTCAAATTTTTGCTGTCGCTTAGTACAATAAAAGGGAGACAGGAGCCTAAATTTCTGGGTAACATGAGGTATTCTGAAAAGACAATTAAAGAGGAAGTAAGGCTACCTTTCTTCAATATTTGCTTCAAATATTAACACAGAAGTCAGGGGTCCTGACTTCTTGCCTCCTCTCTCAAATATAAATAATCACATATGTTCCCCTAGTTCTCTGCTTCCTCACTCATAGTTCATCTAACACAGTAAAGTGAGTCTTTATTCAATGTGTATGTTGCCCACTCTAAGTTTAACTCCAAAAGACCATGAATATCCTGTCAATGGTTGTGTTCCAATGTCCAACACAGAGCAGACACAGTTGTTGAGTAAAGGTGAAGAGGTGAAACTGTCTATATAAATATGCATCATCTCATTCAGTTTGCTTTCTTTCTGACAACAGTGCTCTAGAGCCCATAATTTCTCCCCTTAACCTTCCCAAACTTTCGGTCACTTTCGCTGAGGACAGTATCTTCTGCCTAGAAAACTAATAGATTTCTTCTCATTACTAAAGATCCAATTTAGTGCAATCTTTTTAGTGCATTCTTTTATGTACCACAGTCCTTATATGTAGCAATCTATACAAACCTTTATTGGAGGGTTCATCCAATGAACTGCAAGTAATTCATTAAGTGTCTTATAGTGAAAACTATAACAAAAACTAGTATTTTTGAGTGCTAACCATGGCCCAGCCATTGTTCCACTCACTTTACATGTATCATTGACTCATCTAATCCTAGTGACAATTCCGTAAGGTAGATTCTATTGGTTTCTTACATGTGTCTGTTCTAGCACTGTCTTCCCTATGTCTTAACAAAAGGTCCCACACATTAGGGAGTTTGTAAACATTAGATGTTGAATTGTTTAGATAAGGAGTGCCTCTCTGAACTGCACCACAGTTTTTTTTTAAATTCTCATTTCTTTTATTCCTTAAAGTATCATTCACTTCAGTTGTTATTTGAAGTATAGCTGATTTATTGGCCATCTGGTGATGTCCATGTGTAGAGTCATCTCTTGTGTTGTTGGAAGAGGGTGTTTGCTATGGCCAGTGTGTTCTCCTGGCAGAGCTCTGTTAGCCTTTGATTTGTAATATTATGCTAGCTTCTGGTGTAACAGCATAGTGATTCAGTATTTTTATAGATTATACTACATTAAATGTGGCAAGTACAATTCTCATACAATTAGCCAAAGCAGTGGTTTTAAATGGTTATGCTGATGACTGATAAGCTTTTCATAACTAATGCAAACTGGAAGAAAAGAGTTGTAAATCACTATGAATTGTCTGCTCTAAGCAGGTTTGGGAAGTGGGGTTAGTCATAAAATAAACATTTGCTGAGCACCTACCATATGCCTGGTGTGGTGCATATACCCAACCATCTATGAAGTAGATAGTACATTTGTTTAAAAAAAACAAAGTTGAGACTCCACATGGTTAAGATTTACTCTGAGGTACTTTAGCTAATAAGAAAGAGGGTCAGCATTTTAACCCAGTTCTGTATGCCTCTTTCTGCTATATTACTTAACATTTATTTAATCCACAGTGATTTCTAAACTAAGGTATGATTTCTAAACTAAGGTTCATTTGTACTTGAAAACCTGCTGAGACTATAAGAAGCCCCACAAAAACAAGTGATATCAGGCTTATTGTCCTAAAATAAGCCACTCAAGTCACATGGAACTCAATCCAAATCATAGTACCATAAGCAACTTTATAATAGAAAGTTCTATGTTACAAAATTATTTCCAGTCAGAAGACTCTTAGTCAATTCAAACTTTATTTTATTTCAATAAAACAAGAGAAGGTGGAAGAAAATTACTTTAAGTTTTTATAATAAGATTTGACTAGCAAATTAATTAATCATTGTTGAAATAAAAGTCAAAGAAGACAGCAAATAGATATTTTCTAAAATAATAGCATCGACCACAAGCATATGAAACAAAATTAGGATGTAGTTTTATCTAATCAGCCAAGCATCCCTGAGTCATAATCAAGTCAAATAAATCAAGTAATGTTGTAAGGTTCAATTCGTTTACTATAATAAAGATTTTATTTCCTTTGTCCTTTTTACTAAATGCCTTCCTTGCTCGTCTGCTCTGTGGCCTGATTTCTACCTGCCTTTATTTTCCCATGCAAGGCTTTATTCTTTCACACTCCTTCTGTGTCCTTTCTTTAATAAAGAGATTGATACAGTCCCAAGTTACTTCTCTCTTCAACCTATTTCAGATGGGGACCATTTAGACAAATGTGACTCTCCTGGGAAACCGACCACAAAAACCTCGCTCTTCTTTGCTCCCAGCTGATATGAATTGAGCTCAGAAACCGCTCTGTGTGAATATGTTCATTGAGAAAGAATGCATGACCTGTTTGCCTTAAGTGGCCCTCCACTGTGCACTGCTTCCCTCCATCATCAGAAGAGGGAAGGCCGCTGAGGTCAGATTCCACATGTGCCTGCAAGGAAGTGAAGAGCCACCCGATTCTGTGTTTACCTTCCACGAGTACTAGGCATTTCTGCTACTAAAGCAAATTTACAAAGGCAAGAGTAAATTATGCTGCCATAAAAGAAAAGTGAAAGAAAGTGAAAGTCACTCAGTCGTGTCCGACTCTTTGCAACCCCATGGAGAATACTGGAGTGGGTAGACTTTTCCTTCACCAGGGGATCTTCCAAACCCAGGGATCAAACCCAGGTCTCCTGTATTGCAGGCGGATTCTTTACCAGCTGACCACAAGGGAAGCCGCCATAAAATAGTCACCCATATTTAATGAGTATACACAAATGTGCACAAACACACACATGTCACATGTCACAATGCTTAATTGGGTCTTTAAAGGAACTTGCAGAAAAAGCATTCAGCTAGTATCGACAGGGCTGGGATCTGAAATAGGTCTGTCTGAATCCAGAGCTCCCACTGTTACCCACTGCCTAAATAACCTCAACACACCACTTTATGTAACATCCATTAGATAAGGAAACTGGTATTAATAACACAACTTAACATAAACAACAGTAATAGCCAACAGAATATACAAAAGAGGGGCAGTCCCAAGATGGCTATGGAATAGGATGGGGAGACCACTTCCTCCCACACAAATTCATCAAAAGATCATTCGAATGCTAAGCAGCTTCCACAAAACAACTTCTGAATGCTGGCAGAGGATACCAGGCACCCAGAAAGTCAGGCCTTTCTCTTCGAAAGGAGGTAAGACAAAATATAAAAGACAAAAAGACAGACAAAAGAGAGGGATGGAGACCCGTCCTGGGGAGGGAGTCGTGAAGGAGGACAAGTTTCCAAATAGCAGGTAAACCCTCTCACCACGGGTCTGTGGGGAGTTTTGGAATCTCAGAGGGCAACATAAACGGGGGTGGGGGGTGGAAAAAACACAAAACCCAGAAAATACGCACCTAACCACAGCTCTCAGCAGAGAAGTAGATGCTCGCAGATGCTTGCATCCGCCACCCATGAGTGGGGACTGGACAGGGAGGCACCGGCGGCATCACTGGTGCTTAGGGCAACGACTGGGCCTGAATGCCCTGAGGACAATCTGGGGACGCTAACGTGAGATAGCAACCCAAACTATGGGATAGCCAGAGAGAGAAAAGGACAGAGAGAGAACTTTCCTGCCAAAGGCTCTAAACTAACATGCAGCCTGGCCGACTCGCAGAACAAAGGATTGAGCGAAGACCAAAGGAGAGTTAGCCGGCTGCATACACACGCCCTCTGCCGGAAGCAGAGAGGCAGGCGTGTGACAGCCAGAGCCGGAAGGCAAGGGGCAATCTCGGGCCCAGAGACCGGCCTCCTCCACCAAATTGTGAGCAGGCTCCCAGTTGCTAACCCAGTCTTCCTGGGATCCTGGACGGTTGACATCTGCCAGGAGGGTCGCAACCTGAGATCAGCTCCGCAGAGGAGACACATGGCACGCCTGAGACGGCGCTCTCACAGCGCACCCAGGAAACCAAGTGGCCAGGACCCAGGAGGTAGATTAAGACGCATGGTCTTAATGGGACAGGGTGCTCCACAAGCACCTGGTCGCCTGAGCTGCTCAAACCTGGGAAAGGCACAAAACGCACGCCCAACCCAGCCTGTGCCCTTGTGAAGGACCCGAGAACCTGAGCCTGAGCAGCTTAGACCTGGGAGGTGCATGAAGTGCTGGGTCTGCTTTGGACAGCACCCCTTTAGAGCAACCTGGAACCTGAGCAGTGTAGACTCGGCAAGCGCACGCTGCGGTGAGCTGGAGCAAACCCAGTGTGGTCCATAAACCGCGAGCACTCCCCACACACGCCAGTGATGTTTGTTTGCAGCGCCCCTCCCTGCCCACAGCACGACTGAACAAGTGAGCCTCAATTAGTGACCACCTCCGCCCCTTGTGTCAGAGTGAAAATTAGACACTGAAGAGACTTGCAAAGAGAGGAACAGCTCTGGAAGTGACAGGTGCAACAGATTAAAACCTGTAGTTAGCACTGACTATGCATTAGAAGGGGCTTATAGACCTTGAGAAGTGCAAGCTGGAAAAAGGAACTATCAGAAACTGAACTGACCCCACACTGCCCACAACAGCTCCAGAGAAATTCCTAGACATATTTTTACTATTATCATTTTTTTATTTGTAAACTTTTTTTAATTTTTAAGTTCTTTACTACTCATTTTCATTTTTATAACCTATTATTACCTTGCAAAAAAAAAGGCCCTATTTTTAAAGCAAATTTCATATATATATATATTTTTATACTTTTTGTGATTGATTTTGTTTTGTATTTTTAATATTATATTTTTGAGAGTCTAACCTCTAGATTTTTAATCTTTTCCTTTGTGGTATTTGGTATCAATTTTGTACCTTTAAGAATCTAATCTTCAGTATCCATTTTTACTTAGGTAGGGGTGTGATTACTGGCTTGATTGCTCTCTCCCCTTTTGACTTTCCCCCAGGTCACCTCTATCTCCTCCCTCTCACTTCTCTTCTCTACTTAATTCTGTGAATCTCTCTGGATGTTCCTGGCTGTGGAGAACACTTAGAGAACTGATAACTGGCTAGATTGGTCTCTTCCCTTTTGACTCCCCTTCTTAATTTATATGCAGAGTACATCATGAGAAACGCTGGGCTGGAAGAAGCACAAGATTGCCGGGAGAAATATCAATAACCTCAGATATGCAGATGGCACCACCCTTATGGCAGAAAGTGAAGAAGAACTAAAGAGCCTCTTGATGAAAGTGAAAGAGGAGAGTGAAAATGCTGGTTTAAAGCTCAACACTCAGAAAACTAAGATCATGGCATCTGGTCCCATCACTTNTCAAAAATATACAAGCAACTCCTCCAGCTCAACTCCAGAAAAATAAATGACCCAATCAAAAAATGGGCCAAAGAACTCAACAGACATTTCTCCAAGGAAGACATACAGATGGCTAACAAACACATGAAAAGATGCTCAACATCACTCATTATCAGAGAAATGCAAATCAAAACCACAATTAGGTACCATTACATGCCAGTCAGGATGGCTGTTATCCAAAAGTCTACAAACAATAAATGCTGGAGAGGGTGTGGAGAAAAGGGAAGCCTCTTACACTGTTGGTGAGAATGCAAACTAGTACAGCCACTATAGAGAACAGTGTGGAAATTCCTTAAAAAACTGGAAATAGAACTGCCATATGACCCAGCAATCCCACTGCTGGGCATACACAGAGGAAACCAGAATTGAAAGAGACATGTGTACCCCAATATTCATCACAACACTGTTTACAATAGCCAGGACATGGAAGCAACCTAGATGTCAATTGGCAGACGAATGGATTAGAAAGCCGTGGTACATATACACTATGGAATATTACTCAGCTATTAAAAAGAACACATTTGAATCAGTTCTAATGAGGTGGATGAAACTAAAGCCTATTATATAGAGTGAAGTATGTCAGAAAGAAAAACACCAATACAGTATATTAACACATATATATAGAATTTAGAAAGATGATAATGATTAACCCTATATGTGAGACAGCAAAAGAGACACAGATATAAAGAACGTACTTTTGAACTCAGTGGGAGAAGGTGAGGGTGGGATGATTTGAGAGAATAGCATCGAAACATGTATATTTCCATATGTGAAAGAGATCACCAGTCCAAGTTCAATGCATGAGACAGGGCAGTCTAAGCCAGTGCACTGGGACAACCCAGAGGGATGGGATGTGGGAGAGGGGTTTGGGGTGGGGGGACATATGTACACCCATGGCTGATTCATGTCAATGTATGGCAAAAACCACTACAATACTGTAAAGTAATTAGCCTCCAATTAAAATAAATAATTAATTTTTTAAAAAAGAATATACAAAAGAAATGCACTTTGAGTATTTTAAATGCAAAGTGGCTCACTATCATTTTCCCAAAATCACAGTTGGATCAGGGATAAATGCTAAGTCCATCCTGAAGTGAGTTCTCCCCTCAATTCACTGCATTACTTTAATTATATCATGTAGACAACACATTGTGACATTATTTAGCCACGTGGTCCATGTGGCATGCATCTCACACATATGTGATATGTCCCATAAGCACAGACAAATAACTACAGCAGTAATCTAGTTACCAGTTCAGAGCTAACCACCAGTCAGAACACAATTTTAGCTATTTCTATAAATAATGTTTTTAAGTGCTCTTGTGCTTTCTATCGAATCCTAAACATTCTGTATTACCAAGAAAAATAATGTGCTTACCCTGGGGCACAAACACAGCCACTTATGCAGGGTGATGATGGGGCGCAAGTGAAGTTCATAGCCAAGTTTGCACATGTAGTTTCACAATTTATACCACCAGCTGGTAATTCAGGGTCAGGAAACCTACAGTCGAAATACTGTTTTCCCTCAGGGCAGATGTGAACTTCAGGAACAAGGACAGACAAAATATGTTTAACTTTGTATTTGCTCCATATACACAATCACATTTACATGCATTTGTCATCAAAACACAATTTACTATAGAACACAGTATATTTTACCAGTAATAACTGATGACCCCAGTAATAACTGATTTTACTCTGTGATGTTTGGTTCATGAGCTTAAACCATTCTCTAGCCAGATTTCCTTTAATCACCTAAATTTTCAAGATCTATTTTGAGTTTGAAAACTTAAGCTGCCTTTCATAAGAAAACAACAACTAGTATATACCTTCCTGAGATCAAGAAACATGGTATTTTGATTAATCTAAATATATTATCATTTTTTGAGGATTGACAGTACCATATGTTTAAACTTTTACAAAGCTATGTGTTTACAACAAACACGTGATACTTTTAGATCTTGCTTCACCCTTGAGCCACTATTTATGTTCCTCCTTCCTGGTGGCTCAGAGGGTAAAGGATCTGCCTGCAATGCAGGAGACCCAGGGAGCCCAGGATCGAACTTGGGGCCCCTGGGTCTCAAGATCCCCTGGAGGGAGCATGACCACCCCCTTGTATTCTATCCAGTATTCTTGCCTGGAGAATTCCATGGACAGAGGAGCCTGGCAGGCTACAGTCTATGGGGCCACAAAGGGTCAGACACGACTGAGTGACAAACACCTATCACTATAATGTGGAAGTGCAGAAAATGGGCATAATTATAGGGGCTAAATATTGTTCCAGAAAGCTTTTGAGTTCAGCGGGATTACCACCTCTTATGTGGGGCCAAAAGGAAACTTGGGGATTCCTCTGCCACAAGCCTGGCCACCTGGGCTTCCTTTCCTTCAATACTGAGCCACCCAATGCAGATGAGTCAAGGCGGGGAGGGCCCCGCAGCTCCCAAATATGTGTGCAGTCCATGAACATACCCTGTAAATAAGCCCTAGACAGCCTGAATCCTGATAAATTGAATCAAGGGCATATAATTAATATGCACATTAATTTGCACATATAACTGTGCAAATAAATAACAAAGCAATAGCTCACAATTGGTTTTATCAGCCTACACTCTTGCTATCCATTAAAATCAACAGAAGGTAGCTTTGTTTAGTATTTGCCTAGAATTTCTCCACAGTGAGCATAAATTTGAGGCTTTCTGGGTGGTGAAAAATAAATAATATAAAAGGTCTCCTAATATATATGGTCTTCAGGAATGATATGCAATCATAATATATTATCAAAAGAATGGGAGTCGATGTCATTTTACATACCATTGTTAACTGATGACTGCTAGTCCTAAAGCTTTGCTACTTAAAATGTAGCCCTGAACCCAGTAGCATTAGCATCAGTTTGGCCACCAACAGAAATGTTGCAGGCATCACCCTCACCTACTGAATCAGAATCGTTTTAACAAGATCCCTAGGTTTTTTGTGTGTACATTCGGAATCTAAGAATTGCTGGTCTGGAGTAGGGTCTCCCAACTGCTGTTGCACAAGTGACTTCCAACAGGTGTCTGGATACACATCCCTAAAGCGTTTGGTGAACCTGAGATGGTGCTGGGACAGGGAGCATCAGGCAGCCTCCCTGGGTTGATCAGCTCTGCCTTAAGCAGCCTTACATGTTCACCCCACACTGTCCAACAAATATTATAATTCCGGAGGTGAAAAAGTTAGGAAGCACCAGAGCACCACGTAGAGAAGCATTCCTAAGGCTATTCCTCCACGTGCATTGGAAGGAGGCCTGTGATGAATTCAAAAGACTGGGATGGGGAATACATGTAAATCCATGGCTGATTCATATCAATGTATGACAAAAACTACTGTAATGATGTAAAGTAATTAGCCTCCAACTAATAATGTAGCTTTGTTTAGTATTTGCCTAGAATTTCTCCACAGTGAGCATAAATTTGAGGCTTTCTGGGTGGTGAAAAATAAATAATATAAAAGGTCTCCTAATATATATGGTCTTCAGGAATGATATGCAATCATATTTTCAAAAGAATGGGAGTCGATGTCATTTTACATACCATTGTTAACTGATGACTTCTAGTCCTAAAGCTTTGCTACTTAAAATGTAGCCCTGAACCCAGTAGCATTAGCATCACTTTGGCCACCAACAGAAATGTTGCAGGCATCACCCTCACCTACTGAATCAGAATCATTGTTTTAACAAGATCCCTAGGTTTTTTGTGTGTACATTCGGAATCTAAGAATTGCTGGTCTGGAGTAGGGTCTCCCAACTGCTGTTACACAAGTGACTTTCAACAGGTGTCTGGATACACATCCCTAAAGCGTTTGGTGAACCTGAGGTGGTGCTGGGACAGGGAGCATCAGGCAGCCTCCCTGGGTTGATCAGCTCTGCCCTAAGCAGCCTTACATGTTCACCCCACACTGTCCAACAAATATTATAATTCCGGAGGTAAAAAAATTAGGAAGCACCAGAGCACCACGTAGAGAAGCATTCCTAAGGCTATTCCTCCACGTGCATTGGAAGGAGGCCTGTGATGAATTCAAAACTTCTGCTCTAAGAGGAGAGACAGCGCTAGAGCCTCCTTCTCTCTAAGGAAAACATCTATCTAGGTCTTACCAGTAGAGGGCGTTGCTAATTCATCACATTTCACGGTCCCATTTGAACACTGGCTAGAAGTAAACAGATAGTTAATTCATGAAACAAACCTCAAGATTTTTCTGTTTAAAAAACAATATAACATGCAAGAATTGACAAGATTTTTTCCCAGAAGCTTTTGTAAATAAGTTATTGGTTTAGAACTGATTTGAAGAGAGCTATTTAAGCTCAACACACTTTCATCAAACACAGATATATGTGTGAGGCACTGTGATTAGCATGGAGAATTCAAAGTCCAAAATTCTCAGTCTTTACCCAAGTGCCTACTATGTTCCAGAAGGAGAGAAGACATACAAATAAATAATTGAGCCAGTGTGACATGCAACATACAAATGTTTAAGATATATTAACACAAGTAAAGCATGTAACAATGTTTCAAAATCTGTTAGCAATTGACATTAGGGAAAGAAGATAAAGTCTGCAAAATTTTGAAGACAGGAAGGAGGTTACAATATAGATAAAGTAGGAATGTTGTCATGCTGAGTGAAGATGTAGTAAAAAGTCACATAGGGGTGGAACAGCTTTCTATGCAATAAGAGCGCCATGTGGGATGTAACCGGAGAGGCCTACAGCAAAGTGTCAAAGGCCAGCTTCTATTAGGACACTAAGACTTTATCCCTGAAGTGAGTCACTAAAGACCTTAAACAGAGATGTGATATCGTTGGTTTGAATTCTAGAAAAGTCATTCTGGCAGCAACGTAGAAGAGACTGTGGAGTCACATCTTACAACCTGAGTTCCAAAGTCAGGGCATAAAGCAAAAACCAAATTCAGGCAATATGAATCGTGAAAATCCCTTAAGGAGTTATCATGATAAAGAAAGATTTTTACACTAATTCTCAATAAGCCCAACATAAACAGTTTTGCCTCCAGCTCTGGACTAGATCATGCTTTCTATATTTGAGCCCAGATGAAGAAGCTGACTAACAGAGAAGGGCCATGTCATACAAAAAATATGCTTCTTCGTCTAACACTAGGATGACCCTCAGAAATATGACTCACACTGCGAATGGCAGAGAGGAACCGAGACACAGGGATCTCAGGTCACAGAACCAGGGCTTTCATATCACACTGATTCTGGGACACAGGCTTTTTAAGAGGAATGGCAAATGAGACAATGAGACAAATGGAATTTTTTTCTCACTGAGGTGGGAAGGTTCCTTTGTTTTTGCCAAGTTTACTTAAATTCAATTATGTTAAGTTTAAGAGCAATATAAGATCTTGGTAGAATGGAAGGAGACAAAACTAAAGACAAGAAGATCATATAGAAACGTCCAGGGAAGAGATGCTGAGAGATATTGCTAAGGCAGAGGTGATAGAAAGGAGGAAATGGATTTCAACTGTATGGAGGAAATAAAATCTAAAGTCATTGGGAGTATATTGGGTAGGGGTGTTGAAGAGAAGGAAAGAGTCAAAGACGGCTCCCAGATTTATGGCTTGGGAGACTATGGCTAATAGTGCAACCTACTGTAGATAGAGCCAAGAGCTGGTTGCTTTTGCATCTCAATTGAGGGAAAGAAAGGGAGATGCACATAACAGAAAATACAAATTTTGCCAAGTTTACTTAAATTCAATTATGTTAAGTTTAAGAGCAATATAAGATCTTGGTAGAATGGAAGGAGACAAAACTAAAGACAAGAAGATCATGTAGAAACGTCCAGGGAAGAGATGCTGAGAGATATTGCTAAGACAGAGGTGATAGAAAGGAGGAAATGGATTTCAACTGTATGGAGGAAATAAAATCTAAAGTCATTGGGAGTATACTGGGTAGGGGTGTTGAAGAGGAGGAAAGAGTCAAAGACGGCTCCCAGATTTATGGCTTGGGAGACTATGGCTAATAGTGCAACCTACTGTAGATAGAGCCAAGAGCTGGTTGCTTTTGCATCTCAATTGAGGGAAAGAAAGGGAGATGCACATAACAGAAAATACAAATTGTGCGTAAACAATTTTCTGTCATGGATACAAAATAAGCTGCAAACAAAACAGACAGAGCAAGCACTGCAGAGCCAGGCTGTCCGAGAATGAATCCTGGCTTTGTTACCAAGGTGCTTAACTGTCCGTGCCTCATTTCCTCACGTGTACACGGGGGCTGGAGCAACTGTACCTGCCTCTTAGGGTTAGAGTGATGGCTGTTTTAATAGATGTAAAACTCCCAGAATGATACCAGGACTATAGAAAGTGCACAGTAAAGGACAGATACGATTATTGCAGTGGTTATTATTACTATCCACTTATGTCTGTTATTATCTGTGGGCTCCTATGTTGCAACTAAAAGGGGGTTAGGAGTTGTATATAGATCTATGAGGACGGCTGCATGGACATGTATGCATTTTTAACAGGTTACAACTCGAAGGAGTGTTTTCTTATGAACAAGCATTTTCTCACTAGAATGGCTGTCCTTTGGGATGCAGCATTCTGACTCCAGAGTGTGACATGGTGAATTCCAATTTGAAACTGCATTTTCTGAGCCAGAGGATAAGCCACAAAACCAAAATGCCTCAGTCACTTATAGCGTTTGACCATTCATCTCACCCTTAACTATTATTTGAGAACTAAGGTGAGAGCCATCTCACCCTTAACTATTGAGAACTGATCAAAGGCATTCCATTTCACTGTTTGACACTTTAACTCATAGCTCTTTTCTGCAGTTATGAGCACAAGACTTAGGCATTCCATGCTGAAATGAAATGTGTGTGTGTGTGTGTGTGTGTGTGTGTGTGTGTGGTTTAATGTATATATGTATATATTTGAGTTAAATATATATAAATGTAATATATATGGTTTAACAGTTTATACATTAAGGTTCTGTATTTTTCAAATTACGGATGTCATATTTTAAGTTATGGATTTGGTTAAGAAGTTCTATCACTCCATGTTATTTGTCGAGAACAATCACCATTACTGAAATCTACCATAAGCCTGAGGGTGTTGGGATGAGCTCTCCAGGTTGGTAAATACTGCCTCTGTAATGACACCGGCAGTGAAATCTGTAAGGGGGGAAAAAAGGTTAAATTAACAAAATAGCATATATTTAAGAAAAAACAACACCGAAATTCACGCAGACCACATGCAGTATTGGTACTTTAAAGGTACAGTCTAGCAATGACATTACTGCACAAAATTCCATGCAATTCTGTTAAACAAATGTGAAATCTTGTGCAGCTTTAGATTTTGTTTCCCAAAACTCATACGCTGTATTGTTTTAGTCACACAAAAACTATGTTGTCTTTGTCACAAAAATGTCCCTGGAGGCACTTCAGAGAAACACAACCAATATATCATGTAACCCTACGTAGACAACAAAGTCTTTATGTCATGTGAGATTTGAGAAATTTCTGAATGCTGAGAGACATTACAATCCTGCTACTACAATTTGCCACATGACAGTGAAGCATAAACCTTGCTATTATTATTGATACAGCAAAACCACATAGGAATGAACTTTGGGATTACACATCAGATTCCTTAGCTCTTTCTGTAGCAATTTGTGAGCACATACAGGGTTAACAAATAAATAAGAGTAAGGATATTAAGAAATATTCATGCAACTCACAAGCAGATCCTTGCATATATGCACACTTATTTTATGGAAAAAGTGACATTTAATAGTAGAAAAAATTTATGGTTCTGAGTCGATTAGATTTAAAAAAAAAAAAAAACAGGAAGAAAAGAAGCAGGCATGACAGCCCATTTATCCTGTAAGGGAGACAAGAGATTAAAAACTGGATGCTGTCAACACATTTCTGGGACGTACATGGGCACGCAAAAGCTAAGCGTGTCTTCATAGTATTTGCCTTCAGGACAGTTGCAGCCTTCAGCACAGTCATCGTTGCACTGCTCCGGGGAAGAGAGGGAGAGGCAGGAGCGGCGACAGAAGGAGGCGCAGTGATGGTACATCATGCCTTTCTGACACACCACCCCTGAGGACGGAGAAGCATCGGTTGAGAAAGATCTCCACAGCACCCAGAAGCATTGTATGCTGGGTGATAAGTCTATGATAGACACAAATCATCAAAAAAGAAGACCTTCCATGTCAAGAAACCAAGAACATCACTGACTGCTATGACATAAATAAATAAACAATTCTTTGCCTCAACAGAAGTTTAACCAAAGAAGAATACAATTTCTATGTGAACTATGTTTAACTGTGCCATTTCATAGCATTCTTTAACAGCCTGTGCTACGATTTTCTTAGTATATTTAAGGTATTATCCGTCTACATAAAGCTACTGTCCTCACATTTTAAACCTGTTTGCTGCTTCGTTGGCACCATCTTCTTTATGACACTATTTAATCCTAAGTAAACTTTGTCATCTACAAGCAACACGAAACTTGATTTTATTGATCTATGCTCACAGATCCTGTTTTTTGCCTTTTAAATCATGTTTATATCCTTTGCTAAATTCTTCCAATTTCTTTTTAGAAAAAACTGAATTGATTACAGTAGGCAAACTAAAATATTCTAAAAACACACTTTCACAGACATCTCAGAAATGCTGGGTAAAATAACTGAAATAATGTTAATCGTACAACTGATCTTGTGAGGAAAAAAAAAAGAGGGGGGAGTGGAAGGTAACTTCTTAGGATGACAGAGGTAAAAAAAAAAAAATACAGAACTTTAAGTAGAGAAAGCGAGAGTGGGTCACAGTGATTTTCGACCTTATATTTAACTCTTTAAGGAAATGAAAAATGAAAGTTGGTCCTTTTCAAGGCAAGGAACTGGTAGGCTCTTAACTAATATGTCCAAAAAAATCACCTAACTCAGTTGAAAAGATAGCCTATAGCAGAGGTCAGCAAACATTTTTTGGAACAAGCTAAATGGTTCCAAAGAATGGCAAGGAAAGATAAGAAAGCCTTCCTCAGTGATCAATGCAAAGAAATAGAGGAAAACAATAGAATGGGTAAGACTAGAGATCTCTTCAAGAAAATTAGAGATACCAAGGGAACATTTCATGCAAAGATGGGCTCAATAAAGGACAGAAATGGTATGGACCTAACAGAAGCAGAAGATATTAAGAAGAGGTGGCAAGAATACACAGAAGAACTGTACAAAAAAGATCTTCATGACCCAGATAATCACGATGGTGTGATCACTCACCTAGAGCCAGACATCCTGGAATGTGAAGTCAAGTGGGCCTTAGGAAGCATCACTACGAACAAAGCTAGTGGAGGTGATGGAATTCCAGTTGAGCTATTTCAAATCCTGAAAGATGATGCTGTGAAAGTGCTGCACTCAATATGCCAGCAAATTTGGAAAACTCAGCAGTGGCCACAGGACTGGAAAAGGTCAGTTTTCATTCCAATCCCAAAGAAAGGCAATGCCAAAGAATGCTCAAACTACCGCACAATTGCACTCATCTCACACGCTAGTAAAGTAATGCTCAAAATTCTCCAAGCCAGGCTTCAGCAATACGTGAACCGTGAACTTCCAGATGTTCAAGCTGGTTTTAGAAAAGGCAGAGGAACCAGAGATCAAATTGCCAACATCCGCTGGATCATCGAAAAAGCAAGAGAGTTCCAGAAAAACATCTATTTCTGCTTTATTGACTATGCCAAAGCCTTTGACTGTGTGGATCACAATAAACTGTGGAAAATTCTGAAAGAGATGGGAATACCAGACCACCTGACCTGCCTCTTGAGAAACCTGTATGCAGGTCAGGAAGCAACAGTTAGAACTGGACATGGAACAACAGACTGGTTCCAAATCAGGAAAGGAGAACATCAAGGCTATATATTGTCACTCTGCTTATTTAACTTATATGAGAGTATATCATGCAAAATGCTGGATTGGATGAAGCACAAGTTGGAATCAAGATTGCCAGGAGAAATATCATAGCCTCAGATATTGCAGATGACACCACCCTTATGGCAGAAAGTGAAGAGGAACTAAAGAGCCTCTTCATGAAAGTGAGAGAGGAAAGTGAAAAAGCTGGCTTAAAACTTAACATTAAAAACCTAAGATCGTGGCATCTGGTCCCATCTCTTCATGGCAAATAGATGGGTAAACAATGGAAACAGTGACAGACTTTATTTTCCTGGGCTCCAAAATCACTGCAGATGGTGACTGCAGTCATGAACTTAAAAGATGCTTGCTCCTTGGAAGAAAAGTTATGACAAACCTAGATAGCATATTAAAAAGCAGAGACATTACTTTGTCAACAAAGGTCTATCTAGTCAAAGCCTTGGTTTTTCCAATAGTCATGTATGGATGTAAGAGTTGGACTATAAAGAAAGCTGAGCACCAAAGAATTGATGCTTTTGAACTGTGGTGTTGGAGAAGACTCTTGACAGTCCCTTGGACTGCAAGGAGATCAAGTCAGTTAATCTGAAAGGAAATAGTCCTGAATATTCATTAGAAGGTCTGAGGATAAGCTGAAGCTCCAATACTTTGGCCACGTGATGCCAAGAACTGACTCATTTGAAAAGATCCTGATCCTGGGAAAGATTGAAGACAGGAGGAGAAGCGGACGACAGAGGATGAGATGGTGGATGGCCATCACCAACTCGAAAGATATGAGTTTGAGCAAGCTCTGGGAGTTGGTGATGGACAGGGAAGCCTGGCATTCTACAGTCCATGGGGTCACAAAGAGTTGGACACAACTGAGCAACTGAACTGAACTGAAATGGTGAATAGTTTCAACTTTCCAGGCCATACAGTCTCTGTTACAACTACCCAGCTCTGCCCTTGTAGCTAAATATGCAAACATATGGACAGTAAAATTTATTTACAAAATACAGGAAGCCCAAGGGTTTAATTTGCCAACTTCTAGATGAGAAGAAATCTGCTCATAATACAGGAGATGCCAGGATAGCTACACTAATTTTGCTTATGGTAAAAATAGTCAAAAGCTATTGTCTTATCTAACAAAGCTCCAAATTTAAGAAATAAAGTAATCCCCCGTTTTCTTCATGTTGACACATTATATTAGTATTTCAAATAACTTAAGCAAATGTTTACTTTTTATTGAAAAATAGCAGCAATTACAAATGCAAAAATCTCTGAAGTGCTATTTGATCATCTTATTCAGTGCCACTGCCATCATACTCACCACAGAATGAAATCTGAGCTCTGAAATCGATGGGAATGCCACGTTGGCCACAGAGGTAGGCATAGTGGGCAAGAGCATTGCACAGACAGGCGCTTCCACACTTGCACGCATCGTGGCGGCACAGCTGATAGTATAGCCCAGGGCTAATGTAGATGTGGCAAGGAGTAAAGAGCTCCTGGTGGATAACATCACAGTGTGCTGCATATCCAACTAACAGACAAAGAACTCCATTAGCACTTCATTTACTAGTCTAGCTAGTATCAAATACCCCTAAGTATCAAATTCCAGCACTAGCCAAGGCATCTTGCTTTCCTAGAAGTACACTGTACTGCACATTCAGTAAGTGTCAGTATCTTCAGCTTATACCTTTTTTGGGGGGAGGGGTTTGCTTTCAATAATATTGGTAACAGCACTTACTCCATATTTAATATTCTTTTAGCAAAAAAAGGTATTGTGTCATACCTGAATAACTTGAGTAACAGAAAGGTTAACTGATAGAAGTTGCCTCAATTACCCCATTGCCTGTGGATCATCTTGGGAAATCATCCCAATTTTGCTATAAATAATTGATGAGTATTAGGTTTATCTCCAGACAACCATACAAAATCAAAGTAGTGCCAGATTGAGGATGTTACAGCAACTCCCCAGGATACATTATCCAGGAAGGACTGGGAATCATCTCAGCCCAATGGAGTCTCTGAGTTAAATGGTAATGAGGTAGATGCCACATCATCATTGAATGCGATATCCACACAAGGCACAGTGAGCAATGTCTGGTAAATATTAGGAGCTCAATACTGTTCAATAAATGAATCTGTGAATAAATGAATAATTAATAGAAGTTGATAATGGAGCATATGCTAAAGGCTCTGAGGTATCACTATCAAGTCATTTGAGGGGATCTGTGTAATCAGATTTTGAATTTGTTGATTTTTTTCCCTTGAGAAAGACTGATCAGATATAATTCTCAGTGGGAGTAACCAAGTTTGACAAAACAATCTAGATTTCATCTTTCTGAAAAAAGCCTAGTGTGATTTCTTGGTGTAATTGACCTTGATTGCATTGATTACCTCATGGAAGAAAAATTAATCAGTCTTGGAGCTGTCATTGTCTTTGAGAGACAAGATGAGCTGCTAGAGTTTAGAATTTTTTCATTATTAAGGGATTATGCTGAACGTATTTTGTGAAGTATTTTAAATATATTATTGGAAACACATGCTAATTATGAGTAATTACTTGAGTATTACATTTTTGTATTGTTAAGCACATAATATGTGAAAATAAATGATTTAGACTATGTAACAGTATACTACTGGCATGCACATTTCCAATTACCAGGATCTCCAAGCAAAGAGTTAGTTGTATTATATGCTCTAAGGATTTGTAGATCAAAAATATTCCTACTGACATTAAGTGAAAGGGTGACTCAGAAAATCCTTGTTTAAAAATATCCTTCAGAATCCACATTAGAATTAACTTTTGTCTGTTTACTTTACTTTCTTTGGGGATGTTTTTGAATTTACCTATTTGAAATTTAAAAAAAAGTTCAAGGCAAGCATGAAGAAAATATATAAGTCATAGAAGACAAATGATATAAGGACAAAAGTGATAAATATATATATATGTAGCAAAATAGCAGGTAATAAAGGATGTCATTAAAGAAACAACCAGAGAAAAACTGAATTTATCAACTGGACTCTACTCCAACTTTTACATGCTGTTTTTTTTTTTTCAAGAGATCAAAAATAATTTAACGAAGAAAACTTGAAGTCTAGATAGACTCATTGGTAAATTCAATCAAAATTTCAATCAAATATGCTGGCCACTTGATTTTAGACTAGCATAACCCTGATACCACAAATCTCACAGACACTAAAAGAAAAATATAAACAAATATAATATAAGTAAAATATCTTCAACAAAATAATAGCAATCTAGTAATACATAAAAATGCTAATGGTGATGCTAATTCATCATCACCAAATAAGGTTTATCCTATGAATGAAGTTTAGTTTAGTATTTGAAAATAACCAATGCAATGCAACATAGTAATGGAATAAAAGATAAGCTTAATAAATAAATAAAAGATACATCCTAATAAGAACATTAAAAATAAAATTATCAAAATATCAAGGAAGGAACTGAAAAATTTAGAAACAAACTGAGCAGGAAAAATGAAATGAGAAGGACTAAATCTATTAGTAAAACGTTGAGGAGAGAATGGGAAGGAAAGTGTTGTTAAATGGAAATGAGGTTAAAATCATTAAATCATAGGAAGCAAAAGACTCGAGTCTATTCCTCTTACTACAGTCAGGAAAAATGACCCAAGATATTAACAAACTTCTTAAGTTTAGAAGTTGACCTAGATAAAAATCCAGTACTAAAAGAAAATTCCTAGAGTAGGAAATGGCAAACCACTCCAGTATTCTTGCCTGGAAAAATTCCATGGACTGAGGGCTTTGCAGGCTACAGTCCATGGGATCGCCAAGAGTCGGACATGACTGAGCACCGCCACCCCCCCACACCACCACACACACACACACAATTGTGTTCTTGCCAGGACACTAAAATCACAAGTTAATAATAAGGACCACAGAACAATATACAGAATCCCTCCAAACAACCACCACAAAATAACAGTAAACTAGCCAAAATAATTAAAGGAACAATTTAAATTATAAAAATGTCTATTTAAGCATGCACATCAACTTTTTTCACAAAGTGATTTTACCAAAAATAGTGCCTTGTTTTATTGAATAGTAAACTAGCCTTTCCCATGGTCTGCTGTTGCTTTAGTAAAAAAAAAAAAAAAGTACAGCCCCAAATTATTGGCATGTGAGTTGCACTATTCACTGTAAACTGAAACTGGAGTGTGAGCGTCTCAAATTATTGCACACGTGATGGCACAAAGCTTTTCTGGATCACTGGCTTCCTGCTTATGAAGCAATAATATGTTCTGTGAGTAGGAACTCATCATGTGTCAGTAATAAACAGAAGAATTCACACGCACGGTCATGCTATGGAACCAAAACTGAACATCCCAAGATTATATGAGCATTATAATACTCCAGAGATTTTTCTTTAGCATTTAAAGAATCTGAAATACACAAAATGCTAGCTCACATTTGAGAACAACTGAGGGATTTCTGAGCACCTAAAACAAGGAAATTTATGAATGCAAAATAATAAATGAAATAGTCATTTTCTGGAGTTCTTTTTTTAAAGTAACCTAGATTACATAAAGAGGCATATGTATTAAACAAATATACATAAGGAATGGCATTGATTTATCATAATGAAGAAAATGAGAATTTAAAATTAAACATCAGTGTGTTTAGTGAGGTGGAGGTAGGGAGCTCACGTGATTCTTTCCAAGGTAAAGACAAATGTCCTAAACAATACATAGTCTATACTTCTGGGACACTTCATTATGAGGCCTGAAATACGGAGGTTCCATTGTGAAGTTGGGCAAACAAACCAAATGAAAATTGAGGAGAAGTGGTATAAAAGGCACTCTTCATCCAAGTTTACTCAACAAACCAAAATGGAATAGAAATATCTACCCTTCAGGCTTATAAACCACAACAATGTTTAAGAGTCTGACACTAAAACGCCCCCTCCAGCAGTCATCAAGATTTATTAACTCTTCAGACGATAGATACTGGGAGATAATCCCTACTGGAACTGTGTCAAATACTGTCAGAACCACTTAAAGAATCAGATTGGACTAGGTTTCCTGTAGGAAGATCTGACCAAGCAAAACTTTATTAATGCAAGCCATGCTGCTGCTGCCAAGTCGCTTCACTAGTGTCCGAGTCTGTGCAACCCCATAGAGGGCAGCCCACCAGGCTCCCCCGTCCCTGGGATTCTCCAGGCAAGCATAATGGAGTGGGTTGCCATTTCCTTCTCCAATGCATGAAAGTGAAAAGTGAAAGGGAAGTCGCTCAGTCGTTTCTGACTCTTAGCTACCCCATGGTCTGCAGCCTACCGAGCTCCTCCATCCATGGGATTTTCCAGGCAAGAGTACCGGAGTGGGGTGCCATTTCCTTCTCCAATGCAAGCCATAACTGCATTAATTGCTACAGCATGGCCAAATAGCAGACCAGCGTTTATCTCGGCCCTTTTAGTGTCTTAGTAAGCATAACTACTTTGCTTACCATTCATTTCAATCACCATTACGAAGCTATACAGAGCTTCTCACCATAATGACTGAGACAGGAGAAGAAAAGGGAGCCACACAAGCCACTCCCCAATCCCCATTCCTTATATCCATCCTTTCCTTCTTTTTAGTTTCCCTCATGGCTCAGATGGCAAAAGCATCTGCTTGCAATTCAGGAGACACGGGTTCAATCCCTGGGTGGGGAAGATCCTCTGGAGAAGGAAGTGGCAACCCACTCCAGTACTCTTGCCTGGAAAATCCCATGGATGAAGGAAGCTCATAGGCTATAGTCCATGGGGTCGCAGAGTCGGACACGACTGAGCTACTTCACTTTCCTTATTTTTCTTATCCCTCAAAATGAATCTATTCTAAACTATATAGAATGATAACAAACAACCAATCCAAAATCTCATTTTGCTCCAACGAGAACACAAAGACTCACAGAAATGGCATAACCTGAACTAGGTCTTCTCCTTCTTTGCCTCTCCACTCCTCTCCACCCTACAAAGCACAATAAAATAACTGGTCAAGGTGACGGCTGTACTCAGGGGTCCCAGGAGGAACTGACTCAGAGCTTGGCTCTCTTATTTCACTTAATTCACTTAAAATAATAAATACCAAAAAACAGGAGCTAAAATGTAGACCCATTTATTTATGGCATCTCATTTTACAAAATAGTCTTTCAGTTCACGGTGGTTAACTTACTAAAATAAGGCATACAAAATAAACTTTCAAGCAATTAATATTTTACATTCCATTATGTTTGCAGATTCACATTAACTTTTGTGATGCAAGGAATTTTAACTGCATATGCTGGAAAACTAAACAATGTTTGAAAATTATCTCTGAAATATTATCCATCACTGTTATCAGGCCTGAATGTTTATACATGGTGCCTTAGAAAGAGGCAGACAAATCTACCATCTGTTAAACATTGACTACTAACCCATTCTGACAAACAAGAGGAGAAAAAAAGCTTAATGCTGCCTCTGTACATCTTAACCAAGGCACTTAATATATTTCTGTTTCACAAATGTGATAAAGATATCAATATTCTGACCTACCTATAAATGAAACAAAAACCTAAATGACCTAAAAGTAAATAAATTACACATGAGAAAAGATAAAAGAAGCTCTCTTTTGAAATTAAAAAAAAATTTTAAAGCTCTTTCTCTTTGCTGATCCAATTTTTATTCTTGGTACTGTATCAAAGGTCCTATCTCTATTCAGCTCAACTGTCTAAGGCATATAAGGTTCTATGCTAGTTAAGAATAAAGAATTTATTAAGGATGTGGTCTTTATTCTCAAAGCTCTTGCAGTTTTAAGTAGAAATCAGACAAATCAATGACAGATGTTCATAGATTACAGAGTCAAAATTAACTTTGGTGGGATATAAACTCACTTTTTGAAGCAAATAATAACTGAGTTGGTTTGAAAAATAAATAGGAGTTAAGGAGAAACATTAGGAAGGGAAAAGAACCCAAAGCAGGAAGAATATACAGAAGTGCTTTTTTAAAAATGGCATTTGGAAAATGGCTCCTTCAGGAAATGTTCCCTACCTACCCAATCCACACTTGCCTACTTAAAATTCTCCTGTGCTACTAGCCATGACCACACAGGTCAGCACTTAACTTTTTGAAATTACCTCAGGATTTATGTGTGTGTGTGTGTGCGTACATGATTAATACCTTGCCTAGAACAAATTGTTCCTTTTTTAAAAACTTTTTTACCTGGACCTTTTTAAAGTCTTTGTTGAATTTGTTACGATATTGCTTCTGGTTTATGTTTTGGGTTTTTTTGGCCATGAAGATGTGGCATATTAGCTCCCAGTTTGAGGATCAAACCCACATCCCCTGCACTGGGAGGCGAAGTCTTAACCACTGGACCACCAGGGAAGTTCTGAATAAATTATTTCTTAAAGATAGCTGTCCCCTCCCAGTCTGCAACATAAGCTCCTTGAGAATGGGGACCACATGTTACTACCTTAATTTTCCCACAGTGCTTAGCACAATAACAGGTGTGCAAAGCATTTATATTAAGCTATACTCTGGGCTGTTCTATATGCCGGTGAAAGTGCTTTGTCAATACAAGGGATATAAATGTATTTTATTGTTTTTTTTCCCTAATAAAACACCAACTATGACAAAATCCAATTAACTTAGATGCCACAATGTTGCTTTAGAGATATCACTCATACCAAGTGATATCAATATTATTAAAGTATAATTTACTGTCATTCACACCAAATGATATTAAGTTTTTTTTAAGGCAGCAGTTTTTAAAAAATAAAATACTGTTAAGCTTGATAGGTGGCAGGGAGAGAATAGTGGGAAGTTATTCCATGGGTAGCCCTCAGGCTCTGAGTCTCGCTAACTAAATTCAGAGTCAGCTCCACTGTTTTTGAGCTAAGTGATTTTGAGCTATTTATTTGTCACTTTGGTGTCAGTTAGCTTCTTTATGTATAAAATGGAGTTACCAATTAGGGGGTTGCTACAATATTTAAATATGATGATCCATGTCAAGCTCTTGGAACAGCAATGACTAAGCTATTATCAGGTAAGTAAGCATTATTAATGTGAGAATTTATATCCTCTAAATTACTAGTCATCACGTCATGTTTAGAGATCATACTTACAGAAAATCATCCCTTATGTTCCCGTTAAATGTGCCACACAGACCTAATGTTCTTCTTTTCCACGCACTAGATAGCTGAATATAAACTCTTTCCCCATCTACAGCGAACAGAATCTTTAAACCAAATGTGGTTTTTAGAAGAATAAATAAGGATGACAGAGTCTGAATTTCAACAATTCCTGCAGGAAAAGAACATACATAAATCAGCTCTGAGATTCACAGGCAATGCTCTGAAATGCTGATGTACAACATCAGGGATCTGCTTCCAAAAGACTTCTTCCCAGTTCTCTGTGCCCCAGGGCCAATTTTTGCCACCCTGTGCCTGCTTTCTTTTCTTCCATTTCCCTTCTGTCCTTCTTTCTGGAGGAGAGCAGATATTTTTAACAGAATGTCAGGTTTACATGTAATTTCAGTTGGCAAGCATCTCATACGGGGTGAGGATAGACAGTCAGACATTTAAAATTGGATCTATGGTCCTTTACTTGTGTGTGTGTGTGTGTGTGTGTGTGATGTCCCCCAAATTGGTCACGATTCAACAAGGAAGTGGCACTTTTTCAAAAATTCCCCACTCCCTCGAGACATTCAGTGAAAAAGAGGGCACAGCACTAGCGAAGCATTCATTTTATGAGATATCTTTACAGAAGAGAAACTTGTGCAAGATTCATGTTGATGCATGGCAAAAACCATCACAATATTGTGGAGTAATTATCTTCCAATTAAAATAAATGAATTAGTTTTAAAAAGAAAGATCTAATTTGACTTTTGCCACCATAAGAGTTCTTCCTGCACTCCCTGTCACAATTTCTGTCATCAGTCTGTCACCAAATCCAGAAATCTGAGCATTATTCTTTGAACACATCATTTTTCTTATTGCCCTTCCATCGCCGAGTAGATAACACTTTTTTTCCTAAATAAGAGTTCCATCTGTTTTCTTCTTTCCATCTCTACTGTCACTGCCTTGTATAAGTTCCTCCTCAAATCCTTATGCCCTACTCTAATAACGTCCTAACTATTCTCCATGTCTCCTTTCTAACATTTCTCAAGTCCATGTCCATAGCATTGTTATAGTAGTCTACCAAGAAAAAAAAGACTGTCAGTCTCCTCATTTAAACTCAGTTGCTTATTTTGTTGAAGCATATGAGATTGTCATCTTTGTACATGAACAAGGTCACATGATAACAATTGCATATCAGTTTCATATCAAGTTCAACCAATACCCTTGGATGACACTGAGTGTGATGGTGTAATTTTTAATACAAATCAAGTACTTCTGAAAGCAAAAGTGACTGTTATAAGTAACTACACTAGAACTCGGGCCTGAACACAGCCTCCTAGGAAAATTACAAAGTATTAATGCCCTGTATATAAAGCCTTCCCCATGAGATTAAGAGATATAAGCTACTATGTATAAAATAGATAAGCAAGAAGGATGTACTGTACAGCAAAAGGAAATACAGCAATTGTTTTGGAATGGCTTTGATCTATTAAAATGTTGAAGCACTGTGTTGTATACCTGAAACTTATATTGTAAATTAACTATACTTCAATCAAAAAAATAAGGCCTTCCTCATTCTAATGTCCATCTCTTTCCCTATTCTGATCTCTGGACATTCTATACTTAACTTCTTCATGCTGTAGCAATGCCAAGCTAATTAAAGTTCCCCTTAACGTACTACATAGTTCTCCTCTTTGCTATGCCTAGAACACTTTCCCCATCTCCTTCATCCTGGCAATTCCTCAGCTGTAAATGCTCAATTGGATATCCTTTCTTTAAGAAGAACTTCCTGACCACACCAGCACACCCAGTGCTGGGTGAGATACACCTAATCATTTAGACTCCCAAAGTCTCTATGCATATCTTTGAGTTAATCATATCTTCAAGTGTTCATTTACTTGCATCTTTCCCCTTCCAAACTCTAGGCCACTTGAAGTGAAGTGAAAGTTGCTCAGTCGTGTCTGACTCTTTGTGATCCCATGGACTATACAGTCCATGGAATTCTCCAGGCCAGAATACTGGAGTGGGTAGCCTTTCCCTTCTCCAGGAGATCTTCTCAACCCAGGGATTGAACCCAGGTCTCCCGCACTGCAGGCAGATTCTTTACCAGCTGAGCCACAGGGGAATCCCAAGAATACTGGAATAGGTAGCCTATCCCTTCTCCAGCAGATCTTCCCAGCCCAGGAATTGAACCAGGACCTCCTGCATTGCAGGAGGATTCTTTACCAACTGAGCTATCAGGGAAGCCAACCTTCAAACCTCAAGTTGTCTCCATTCTCAGTTGAGATCCCTAGCCTCTTTCAGTGTTTTTCAGATGGCTCCCACTGTTTCAGCATCAAATCCAAACTGAAAATATCAGGCACAGTATTACCCAGTAGAACTTTCTGCAACAATGGAAATATTCTGTGTCTGCACTGTCCCATACGACACTTGAGATAAACACTAGTGCCCTTGAGATAAACACTAAGCCCCATAAACGTGGTGGTCTCCACTAAGTTTGGCTGAGGACCTGGAAACACATAGGCATCAGTAAATGTTAGGTTCGTCAGTTAATGGAAGAAGACTCCATTTAGGTCGTGCTGTTGTTATTGTTAATGTAAGAAAAGTATACCATTAGCACTGCTTCTTACCATTCAGGTTGAAGCCTTGGTCAGGACTGGTGAGGATCTGTCCTCCCCTACTGACGGTCACTTGTTTGTTAAAATCATCCTCCAGAATCAGAGTTACAGACTGAAGGCAGACCAAGCCAAGGTTCTGCATAAAAATCAAATTATCAATTAAAGGAATGAGAGAGGAAAAGAGAGACCTAGTCAGGGACAAGGACAGTGGAAGAGAGAAATGGAGAAGATGAAGGAGAGAAGAAAGGAGAGAGTGCGCACAGGTAAAGATTTCTGGTATACAGAAGACTTGAGAATAAGCAATGTTATAAAGTAGTTTCACATTTTATTGTGAATCTCATGTAGCCCCATTACTAACAAAATATATCTTTACATTACGTACATCATATGCATATATATGCCTTTCACAGATTATTAAATAGAAATGTTTTCAATAAAGGGCCAATAATTATGTTTTCCATAGGACATAATGTACCTTTCCAAATTCATCTGTGGTATTTAGATGTAAAAAATTCAGTATAGAGAAGAACCAAGAGAATTAGAATTCCATGTAGAAAGCTAATTAAGACTCTGACATACTGCACAGGAGAAAAAAAATCAAACTAAAAAAAGCTTATAAACTAGATTGGAATTTTGTTGGAAACAACCATTTTATGTTGGAATAAAAGTAGAATAAAAGATTTTGGCAAAATTGTGACTACTTGACTTAGAAAGAGAAATGAAAGACCTGTGTCTCTTTGTTTACAAATAATAGATGTGTTTATTTCAAGAAAAGGTCTAAAATAAATATTCCCACATGCTAAAAAAAAAAAGCCATCATATCTATTTAGGATGATGTGAAACTTGTTAAATTCTGTCAAAAATCATCTTTAAGATAGTAGTTTTGAGGCAACAAAATCTTATTATGCAGTCGTGCATGAAATGTTTCAAAAATCTGTACATACAAACACCATTTTTAAGAAAAAATGCAATAAATATATAATATTTAATCTAAGACTTTAATATTTTGCTATCTTTGAAATCAGGAGACATGATATAGTTAATAGCATACATAGATCAATCATCAACATGTTTTTTTCATTGTGGTATACAGAATAATGATGCATCTTAACGATCAATGGTGTCTGATTTTTGAGGAAAACAATTATACCTATTCATGTTACTATTTTTAACCTAGATAAAAAGTTTGAGCCAAAAAAAATGAACACTCCTCTGGTCATTTTGAAATGCTCTTACCTGTTCACAGTGAGCTTTCTGTAAAGTAATTGTGAATTTATCTTTTCCAGTTCCTTTTACAAGGATGTATTGGCACATTCCAATGAAAGAATAATGTCGACCATCAAAAGTAGTAAAATGAGAATCACCTACAACGGAGCACTGAACTAGAAGAAGGAGAAGCAGGGGTGGGTAGAGGAAGAGAAGAGGAAGAAAAATGGAGAAAAGGAGGAGGAAGAAATTATGTTTATTCTTAAAAAGCAGTAGGTCAAAAAAAAAGCAGTAGGCCGACTTAGAGTAACTATTCAGGTATCAAAAAGAATAGTTAAAGTGTTAAAAATTTACTAGTTTGACAAACTCGCTAAATTGTATTATTTGATTAAATTTTAAATTTATTTAATTATAGCTGTTCCACATTTTTTAGAGTTTATAATATTTGTACAATTTTCATAAATTTTTACCAAAGTTGTCTGCTCAGAGCTATCATTTATTCAATTTTCCTCTTATCCTCTGAATATCTGGATTTAAAGAGCATTACATCTCTTGTTATATATGAGAAGACCTTATGAATATCAGTGCTAGCTTTCTCCTCAATTTCAAGAAAATCAAGACATTTTCTTCAAAAACATTTTAAAAGATTACCTGGGCAGTCATGCTCAGTGCAGTTCCAAACTCCACCAACACATACACTAAATAAAATGATAAAAATATTAATCTAATTGCACAAAGAAACTGTATGAATGTTTGCAATAATGTATTGGTTAATGTAGCAAATGCATCATGTTTCTTAGGTTCAGAATAATCTGACTTGAAAAACAGCTCTCCAAAAGTTCAATTAACTGAACTTTTAGGCCAGCACCTAAATTAATATTTATTGCATGCCGTATTTAAAAGTCAATAAAGATGATACACCAGTAATACAGATTAGTCAAGAACAAAAGTACTAAGCAGAGAACTTCTGTTTCTTTCCTTCCCTCACTGATTAAACCAAAAGAAAGGCCACACAATAAAGCATTTACCTGTATCATTAGAGAAATACAAATAATGAGTTAAGATTAATAAGTCACTGCATCTACTTAAAACTTTTAAAGTTGGCTTTGAAGATCATCAGACATTAAAGAGAGAGAAAAGATATCCCCTTTGTAAGATAAATTCTGCCTTCTACCATCAAACAGATAATGCATTTTGGAGGAAAGAATAATCTCTGAAAGGCAGGAATTTAAATCAGTGTCTAAGAACAGGGTTAGTTTTCAACTGTATTTCAGTTATATACACAGACAGCAAAGGGAAAATCGCCTAAGGACATTTATACCTCTATTTCTTTTTAGACTGCCCTGGAGGGATTTAATCTTTGGCTATAGTAGCTAACTAGTTAGCTAGTTTAAGAATGTTGAAAAGCCTCTAATCCTGGCCCAAAATTGGTGATATGAAGAGTCACTTTTAAAGTACTCAATACAGAAGGACAAGAGAACTGTCAAATTCTATGAGTAAAAGCATGTGCAAATTAGTGATTATTCAATAGTTCATCACATGGATATAAAAATTTATAGAGTTACCAACAGAAGTGATAAAAGTTACATCATAAAAGAAAATATAGATGGTCCCTCCTACTCCGCTGTTGCTGTAAAGGCTTTAAATACAATGAAACTGAGTCTGGGAATTTTTGGAAGAAAAATCTGTAAAAAGTATATCTCTTTAAACATATGTTAAGGTAAAATTGTCCCCTAGTCAGGTACCCAGAAATAGTTAGCTGTAATTGATCACATACCATTCAGTACATTCTTGTTCAATTTTTGAGCCAACTGAATATGCTAATCCATGAAAATTGCATGGGCAGTTTTCCAAGGAGATGCAAGTCCCATTTTCCATTATGAGGCCTATTTAAGAAAAATATATATCAAATGCACATAAGAAATAATAAGAATTATATCCTTTGAATAAAAGGATTCGGCCAACTTTTATCAAACACTTGCCTTCACTAGGTGCTAGAAATACAAATTACTTTTAAGGAGCCTGGCTCTGTCTCAGTCAGCAGCTACTATTTCCGCGGTTTTCAACTTTCTTATCCCATTACCTGCTATCAAAATGTTAAGATTCACAACACAGAAATAGGGCAACTAATGTCTCTTTGCTTTTGAGAGAAGAGGGGAGGAGAGGAGGGAGAAAGCATTGAATTTATCCTGTTTAATTTCTGTTTATGTGAAAGTGAGAGATTTACATTATCATCACACAGGTACTACAGAGCCAGAAAATGCTTCGCAAAGCACTAGTATGGTAGAACCACATTTGTTACTTCTTTCTAACGAGTAAAGGTGGTTGAACCAATGTTACTAAGCACATTCTTTGATTCAGCTGATCATTTTCCAGAGTAAGACTTTCTGGTCAAAGGAATTATATTCTGGTTGCATGGATTTATGTTCTGGTGCAAAATCCTTATCCCATCATTGTCTGGGAGCAAACAGTTCAGACCTGGCACTGGTCCAACGGACTTTGAGGAGCATTGACAGAACAGTGGACCGAGGTCAACAGATCTGATTTTAAGTAGTCCTCACTCATATTAAGTACACGACAGTAGGAAAACACTTAACATCTCTGGGATTGTATTTTTTAATCTGCAAAAATAAAAGGGTTTGAGTAAATCCTCAATGTTCTTATAAATATCTATTAATTTGTATTGCAGATTTAAATCCCATCTCTATCATTTGCTATGTCACTTCTAATTACAAATATTTAAAACTACATCAGGCCTAAAATCTTGTACTACCAAGATATGAAGACTTTTTTTCTGAATTTGATTTTGTCTTTAAAAAATGAAAATATATAAATTATCGTTGCTGTTGTCTAGTCGCTGTCATGTCCAACTCTTTTGTGACCCCATGGACTGCAGCCCACCAGGTTCCTCTGTCCATGGGATTTCCCAGGCAAAAATACTGGAGTGGGTTGCCATTTCCTTCTCCAGGGGATCTTCCTGACCCAGGGATGAAAGCCTTTAATTAAAGCAAAGCATCCATTCCTTGTAGTCACTTTGAGGATCAAATCCTACAAGGGAAGAAAATTTGCAATAGCCCTAACATCCCAAGAGAGGACACTAAGGCATGGCTCTTGGATCACAGGGTACCAACCACAGTGAGTGCAGACACGGTTTCTTTCAGGAAGCACTTACCATCTGGGCAGTAACATCCATCGAGACAATGGAGATTGCTCCCTAGACACTGCTTCTCGAATGTGCAGGTTGGTGGGCAACAACTGATACAATCCCGGTGGACAAAGCTGTCATCACATTTATCAACTAAAATGGGCAAACAGGTGAGCAGGACGTCAATGCTACTCAACACTCTTTGAAAAAGATTGCAGTGTTTTTTTTTGTCTTTTTGATTTTTTTATTGAAGTATAGCTGATTTACAATATTGTGTAGGTTTCAGGTGTACGGCACAGTGATTCAGTTATATATATATAAAATATATGTCATACATAGTTTATATATACAAGTTCTTTTTCAGATTATTTTCACTTATATATCATAATATTGAGTATGGTTCCCTGTACTATATTGTATGTCCCTATTGGTTATCTACTTTATACCTAGTAGTATGTATATTTTAATCTCAGCCTCCTAGTTTATTTTCCCCCCACCTCTCTTCTCCCCTTGGTTTGTTTTCTGTGTCTGTGAGCCTCTTTCTATTTTGGAAATAAGTTCATTTGTTTCTTTTTATCTTTAGATTCCACATGTATGCTTTATCGTATGGTATTTATCTTAGAATATTACTCAGTCATAAAAAGAATGAAATAATGCTATTTGCAGCCACATATGTGAGAGGTTATCATAATAAGTGAAGAAAGTCAGATAAAGACAAAGATTAGAGTGCTTTAAAAGTATTCAAAGATTTACCAATATTATTGCATCAATAACAAGTCTTTGCAGTTCACTAGTTTTGAACAGTAGGGTAAGTTTTGAGTACTAGGATAAGCCTAAAATTAATAGAAGTACACAGACATGGCTGGAAACTAAGGAAACATACTGCATGCTGGAAAGTCATCTCTCCAATCTTGAATAGGGTAGCCCGCATGGGAACAGGCTCTAGCATACTCAGTGGCCGCTCGACAATAGGTCTCATCATCATGAGTTCTGGAAAGTGAAAAGACAGATCAAAAGTCATACAGGAAATATTGACAGGAGCTATGCCATTGAGCTTTTGTTCTGGAGAAATGCTGACTATGTGGTGAATATTCTAATATTAGTTGATGTCAGCTTATGTATATGTATATAATGTATAATAATGCAGAAAACATATAAACATGGGACCCCAGATTTAAAAGACTAAGTAAATTGTTTCATTTAAGTCTTTCAATAATTTGGCCATTTTTCTTTGGACTCAAAGGAGTACCATACTGAAAAAGATTTCTATTTTAATTATGACATTTGTTCTAGAATCTTTTTATTATTTTGCTCCCACACAAAGCATCCCAGACCTTTCAAATTTTAATAAATCCTATCAATATTATTATTAATTAATCCTATTTAATAATTCTATCACAACAAAAACATCAAATATGAAAATGATTTCTAAGATACCATGCTTTTGATAGTTTACATGCTGGAATAAAATCAATACTAATAATAAGCACTTGTGAAGGATTAAATAAATAGCATTTCATTTGAGATTTAGAAGATTTTTAATTCTTTCAGGTTTAAATTACTAAAGCCAGTTACTTTGCTAATGTTGCCAAGAGTGAATAATCCCTAAGTATTTTTTTATAATCACCTTAGAAACTCCCCCAAACAAATATAAGAGGTCAGCCAACTCCCAAAGCAGATTAACAAGGCATCTATAAAATCAACAGTGTTTATAAGGTAGTGGGCTTGTTTTTCAACCCAACTGAAAGTCTAAATAGCTAAATATCTTTACAACCTTAGGAATGTTGTATTTTGTGAACCTTAGCATTTTCAGTATTTCTATTGTAAAAACCACTGATCTCAAATCGCCCTTATCCTGTGTTACTGTAATTGGAGTCGTGCAGATTATCTAGTCCAATTAACTAAGCTTTAGAAAGAAAAAAAAGGACTGAAGACTTCAGAAGCATAGAAAATATTCTAAATCTCCAAACAAGTCTCTGAAAAACAGGGTAAGTTAAAACTGTTGAATTCTTAGAAAGATGCTAAATTTATGATTTACTTTAAACATATGCATTTTTCCTACAATTAAGGGAGGCTTTGAAAGCTAATAAAGTAACTGAATATTGGTTTTCCAACATAATGCAACTATTATTCTAATCGTTTATTGTGTCTATGTTACACTAGGAACTGTACTAGGCACTTTACATATGGCATTGCATAAAAACAACAGTTGGGCAACAGATTATTTACTGACAGGAAAATTAGCTTACTTTTCCATTTTGGATGTTAACTTTAATAAGGAAAATAAGCATTAAGTAACAGTTGTTTTTAAATCAATTGACTTGGGTGTGGCAAGATTAGCAGCATTTCCTTGCTGCTAAGTTTAGCAGTATTAGAAGCAGAATGAGGAGGACCTGAGTTCAAGGACTGGTATTGTATCATCCTTCAAATTCCAACTCAGCTATCATTTTCTCTAGGCACTCCCTGGTAAGGTTAGTAGTTCTCTCCTCCACAATCACTGTACTTTGCATTTAAAGCAGGTACAATTGCTGAGAACCTGTTTTTCTGCACCATGAGAATCTGAGTTCCTAGGACAGGGACTATTTCTAAAGTGTTTCTGTTTCCATGGCCAACAGACACAGGAAAGGATGCTCAATGTCACTAATCATCAGGGAAATACAAATCAAAACCACAATGAGATATCACTGCACACCTGTCAGAATGGCTGTTGTCAAAAAAAAAAAAAAAACAAACAAATAACAAATTGCAGGTGAAGAGGTGGAGAAAAGGGAACTCAAGTGAACTGCTGGTGGGAATGGAAAATGGTGTAGCCACTATGGGAAAGAGAATGAAAATTCCTCAAAAAACTAAAAATAGAATTACCCTGTGATCAAGCAGTTCCACTCTTGGGTATGTATCTGAAGAAAGCAAAAGCACTGACTTGAAAAGATACATGCTTATTATCAACGTTCACAGCAGCATTATTTTTTCATCAGTAGAAGGCATTCATTTTTTTCAAGCAAAATTTACCAACATCAGAGCCAGCTTGACGGGAACGTGGCCTGTGCAGTCAGTCCCACAGGCCCTGCTCTCAAACAGGCGGTCGCTCAGCTGGATCCTGCATTCGTTTCACGCTCTGCTAACACTGTCTTGAACGCTTAGCAATTTTTTTTTAACAAGGGGTCTTGCGTTTTCACTTTGCAATACCCCCTCCCCCTTGATTTACTACATTATAAACAAATTAACTGACATTCTGACATAATCCAGGCTAAAACACAGTCAACCTACCTGGAATAAGCAGAAGCTAAGAAACTAGGCAAGGGAGGAGCCAAGATGGCGGAGGAATAGGACGGGGAGACCACTTTCTCCCCTACAAATTCATCAAAAGAACATTTGAATCACTAGGAACTGTACCAGGCACTTTACATATGGCATTGCATAAAAACAACAGTTGGGCAACAGATTATTTACTGACAGGAAAATTAGCTTACTTTTCCATTTTGGATGTTAACTTTAATAAGAGATATCACTGCACACCTGTCAGAATGGCTGTTGTCAAAAAAAAAAAATAATAACAAATTGCTGGTGAAGAGGTGGAGAAAAGAACTCAAGTGAACTGCTGGTGGGAATGGAAAATGGTGTAGCCACTATGGGAAAGAGAATGAAACTTCCTCAAAAAACTAAAAATAGAATTACCCTATGATCAAGCAGTTCCACTCTTGGGTATGTATCTGAAGAAAGCAAAAGCACTGACTTGAAAAGATACATGCTTATTATCAACGTTCACAGCAGCATTATTTTTTCATCAGTAGAAGGAATTCATTTTTTTCAAGCAAAATTTACCAACATCAGAGCCAGCTTCATGGGAACGTGGCCTGTGCAGTCGGCCCCACAGGCCCTGCCCTCAAACAGGCTGTCGCTCAGCTGGATCCTGCACTCATTTCACGCTCTGCTAACACTGTCTTGAACGCTTAGCAATTTTTTTTTTAACAAGGGGCCTTGCGTTTTCACTTTGCAATACCCCCCCCCCCTTGATTTACTACATTATAAACAAATTAACTGACATTCTGACATAATCCAGGCTAAAACACAGTCAACCTACCTGGAATAAGCAGAAGTTAAGAAACTAGGCAAAAGGCAAATTCAGTTCTCCTGAGAATAGTCAGGTTATATGAAATAAGATCAAGCAAAAATTCATACTCCTTACTATGAGCCCTAAGACTCTAGGTAATCTGGATCTAGACCCTGCCTACTTCTCTAACTTCATCTCCTCTCTCTCTTCCATTCATCACGCTCCAGCCACATTTTTTGTGTTCTGTAAACACCCCAAATTTGTTTTGCCATCCTTCCCAGGAGGCACTAAAAATGAAAGTGTTAGTTGCTCAGTCGTGTCTGACTTTGTGACCTCAGGGACTATAGCCTGCCAGGCTCCTCGTCCATGGGATTTTCCTGGCAAGAATACTGGAGTGAGTTGCCACTTCCTTCTCCAAAGGATCTTCCCGACTCAGGGATTGAACACAGATCTTCTGTACTGCAGGCAGTTTTTTTACATCTGAGCCATCAGGGAAGTTAGTAGTAAAGAACTCAACTGACAATACAGGAGATATAATAGATATGAGTTCGATCCCTGGGTTGGGAAGATCCCCTGGAGGAGGGCACGGCAACCCATTCCAGTATTCTTGCCTGGAGAATCCCATGGTCAGAGGACCTGGCAGGCTTCAGTCCAGAGAGTCGCAAAGAGTCGGACATGACTGAAGCGACTTAGCACATAAGCGTTACTTGTAACAGCCAAGATATGGAAGCAACCTAAGTGTCCATCAACAGGTGAATGGATAAAGACCATATTATAAATGGAATATTACACAGTCAAAACAGGGAACACAATTTTGCCATTTGCAGAAACATGGATGGGCCTGAAGGGTATTATGCTTAGTAAGAAAGCAAATACTGTGTGTTTTCACTTATAGGTCAAATTTGTAAAAAACAAAATGAATGAATATAGCAAAAGAAAAACAGACTCACAGAGAACAAAACTAGTGGCTATCAAACTAGTAGGAAGAGGGAGTGGGGTGGGACAAAATAGGAGAAAATAGGGGTTAAGAGGTGCAAACTACTAGGTATAAAATAAACAAGATACAAACATGTAATGTACAGCATAGAGAATATAGTCAATATTTTAAAATAACTCTAAATAGAAAATAATCCATAAACATATGGAATCACTATGTTATATACCTGAAACTAATATAATATTGTAAATCAATTATACTTCACAAAAAATGTTTAAAGTAAAATAAAATAAATTAAAAATCAACATAATAAATTGTTTCTATTGCATCAAGATGTGACATAATGTGACATAATGCTCAGCTCAGAATAGACACTCAGGAAATATGTATTAAATTGAATTCAATATACTATCCTAGTCCAAGCAGGAAATTTGTATTCAACAGATTCATAATTATATAGTCATGGTATAGGATCCCTGTGAGGCAGTCCTTTAATATAAGAAGTGAAGAGAATCTCCTTTAGGGGAAAAAGAATGTAGGCGGGTGTAGTCCTGAATGGACTATTGAGGAGAGTAAAAGGCCAACTCTGGTACCTTCCCTCTTCCATTTTATCAATGCACACTCATTCACTTGCATAGTCTATTCTTTGGTTTACATGCCTGCTTTGCCTAGCTTCTTCAGCTCAAATACATATCTTAAGATGTCAGTTGATTTCAACCAGTAAAGGTGTTTCACTATTCTGCTGTTTTTATTTGCCCTAAAGAAAGCAACTACGTTTCAAAATTCAAAGCGTAAACACAACAAAATTTCAAGAGACAAAAATGTGAACTTCTTAATGATGAAATTTCAGATGAAGCAGGTACAGCAGGATACATTTTGTGTCCAGGTCCCTCTTCTTTTTAATATTAGAACCTGCAAGTTTTTGCTGGGCATATGGCTGCCCAGCCAAAGACAACATTTCCCAGCTGTCCTTACTTCTAGGGGTGGCCATGTTTCTAGTTGTGGCCAAAGGGTTAAAAGTGAAAATGTTCATGAAACTTCTAGATCTCTTCCTTAAAAGTGGTGGTGGTGGTTTAGTCACTAAGTCGTGTCCGACTCTTGCGACCCCATGGGCTGTAGCCCACGGGGCTCCTCTGTCCATGGGATTTTCCAGGCAAGAATACTGGAATGGGTTTGCCATTTCCTTCTCCTTCAATCCCCAACCCAGGGATTGAACCCAGGTCTCCTGCACCACAGGCAGATTCTTTACTGACAGCTATGACAGCTCTTTATTTCCTTTTTTCCATTCCTAAGGGCTAAAAGAGGGACATGGCAGTGGTGAGACGGTTTTTGACAATGAAACTGAGAATAATACCCTAGGCCCTGGAAGATGACCTAGCCAATAGTATCAGGAGTCAATGGAAAACTCGTGGAGCAGACACACACTATGAACCCAAGACCACTTGCCAGCCTGGACTTCACATGAGAGAAATAACAAGCATTCAATTTAATTGAAGTCCCTGATAATCTGCCAATTGAAGCAGCCAAACAATATCCCTAATAAATGGAGAATGACTTTTCTGGATCTGCCAGAAATAAGGGCAATGGACTACTTACAGATCCCTCCAAAAGAGACTGATAGAACACAGATATAACAATACAGCATTAAAAAAAAAAAATACAGCATTTAAATGAAAAGCAAAACCAAATAGAGAACAGAATCTTGTTAAATATAAAGAAAGGTCAGTACTCAATATTTTGGGCAGAGGGAGTATTCTTTCAAAGCTCCTGGATTAATTAAAAAATCCCTGAAATTTAGACTATACATACAAATAAAGATATAACTGTACTTAACTCAAAATTAACAAATATCCCAAACAATCTCATTTTCATATCTGGAAAATATCATTGCATTCATTATTTTTATAATTATCTTAATCTAATTAAAGGCAGAGTGATTATAAGTAACATAATTCCACACTACCTCAAACTTTTCTGTTTGTTTTCACCTTTGGTAAACTTAAACCTCCTAACAAGCTACCAGGATTTAATTTCAGAGGTTTTATTCAAACAAAAATTTGTCTGGTCTTTCATAACAATGTTTCCATATACCATTTATACTTCTTGGAATACTTAAAAAATAAAAGCATATTAAAAATTTCTTGAGATACTAACATTCAAGACAGCTAATCACATACATTTGGTAATTTTTTTTCAAATCGAAGTATAATTGATTTACAATGTTGTGTTAGTTTCTGGTGTATAGCAAAGTGATTCAGTTATACATATATACACATTCTTTTTCATTTTCTTTTCCATTATGTTTTATTACAGGATATTGAATACAGTTCCCTGCTCTATTCAGTAGGACTTTGTTCTTTATCTATTTTATATACAGTAGTTTGTATCTGCTAGTCCCAAACTCCTAATTTATCCCTCCCCACAGGTCTTCCCCTTTGGTAACATAAGCTTGTCTTCTATGATTGTCTGTTTCTATTTAATAAATAAGTTAACTTGCATAGTATTTTAGATTTCACATATAAGTGATAGCATATGGTATTTGTCTCTCTCTTTCTGACTTGGCCTGATAATCTCTAGGTTCATCCATGTTGCTGCAAGTGGCATTATTTCATTCTTTTTATGACTGAGTAGTATTTGTATATATAGATATGTCACATCTTCTTTCTTAATTTAGTTTGACTCCAAGGATATTTGCTTTACAATATTGTGTTGGTTTTTGCCATATATCAACATGACTCTGCCACATACATTCATATGTCCCCTTATGCCACATCCTCTTTATCCATTTATCTGTTCATGGACACTTAAATTGTTTCCATATCTTGGCTATTGTTAATAGTGCTGCTATGAATACTGGTGTGCATGTATCTTTTACTTGTTAAATTTTTGAAAAAATAAAGACTTCAATAATGGTAATCTATATTGATGAACATACTATGATGAGTCTCACTGAATTTAGTCCCTAGACAACCACCTTTGTATGGTGTTCTTAACCCAGGAGTGAATGCAGGAGCCTGTAACCTTGGTGTGAAAAATATTACATGTTTATTTTCCCTAATTTTCTGTTTATATTTAGCATTTCTTTCAGTTACACACATAGGCAATACATAAGGCAATGTTCTTAGCAGAATCTGTAACTTTATCATCAATATAACTCATGTCTCATTTTTTCATATTTTCATTATTGTTTATACTCTTTTTTTAGTTGGAGTTTCAATATCAAACTCTCAAAAATTAATAGAATGAATATACAGAAAAGTAGAAGGATATGGTAGGCCTGGAAAACACCATGAACCAATGAAAAATAATTAAGACTTATACAATTTTCATACAAAGTAGGATACAAATTCTATTCAAGTTTCCATAGACTATAAATTAGGAGACACTGGAACATATCCAGGGACATAAAACAAGATGCCAAACTTTCACGGCCTAAAGGTATTGAAATCATACAGAGTCCGTTCTCTTATCACTGTGGAATTATGTGAGAAATCAATATCAAAAGATATTTGAAAATAAGCCACATATTTTCCGGCTTCCCTTGTAGCTCAGCTGGTAAAGAATTTGCCTGCAATGCAGGAGACCTGGGTTTGATCCCCGGGTTGGGAAGATCCCCTGGAGAAGGGAAAGGCTACCCACTCCAATATTCTGGCCTGGAGAATTCCATGGACTATACAGTCCATGGGGTCGCAAAGAGTCAGACATGACTCGGCAACTTTCATCACCATCATCATCATTATCATCACATATTTTCAAGTGCAATGTGACTATGACCCAGTAAATTCTTAATAGCTGTTAGTACAGCTTATATTTTACATTTCCCACTACATCCCAACTGCTGAGATAGTAAAGTTATAGAATGGCTTTTGCTCTTCTTTTTGGATAAAAGAATTTCATTATAAATAATAATTATTTCACTTACTTGCAAAGATCATTAACACAGCTGGCAATATATAAATATGGATCAATATATTCATGGCAGCTCAAAAAGGGAAATTGCAAGAGGATCTGACACTTGAAGAAGATTGCCTATGCAGAAAAAGATGGTAGTCACTAGCACATACTAAATGATATGCATGTACTCTCATTTCGTTCTGTTGATCTATTTGCAAGATTCTCTGTTCTTACTAGGAAAGAGAAGGTATGTAGGCTTACAAATTTAAACAACATTTTCTAACTATTTTCATAACGAGCACCACTTTTATGAAGCTCATTGCATTCATCATTTTGGAAGTAAACACAAATTTATTCTTTTTGCATTACATTTCTGGAATTTAATAGCATTTAATTATGTTATATTTACACTAAAAATGCTTAGTGTGAAATATACAAATACAGTTATACGTGTGCTGTATCCAACATGCCAAAGTTTTTCACATCATATTTACCTCAAATGCTGGCATTCCGCTGGAGCAAGGATTTGGAAAATCTGAGGGTGTGGGTACACATTTGGTGTCATCTGCAGTTTGCACCGACCAACTATTTGCAAACACAGCAATGTCTTCTGTATAGTCCTCTATTACACACAAACACACACACACAAATATGTGTAATAGGATCACTTTCCACAAACACACAGTTCACCAACATAAAATTTCTGGTCAAAAAGCTAAACTCAGTAACTTTATAACTTTATAACCAATGATAATAGACTATAGAATTGCTTTAGCATAATATCCATAAAAATAAATTGAAAAAGTTTAAGTACCAAATACCACTAATACCCTTGGAGTAGAAAAGGAAGCTCCATTGAAGGAGCATGTGGGAGTGTTGAAAGTGAGTGGCACCACGTGCACACCAGGAAAGTACTAATTAGCCTGCAGTGTATACTGCAAAGAGGAGGAAAATATGCATAAAACTAAAAACATAAGTAAACGTTTGGCATAAAAATTTTCAGACAGCCCTTTCATTCTACTTGACATTAGTCAGAACCTTACTAAAATTGTAGCTCCATTCAGGGGTACCTAGAGCCCTCGTGGAGATTTCAGAGAATGGACATACAGACAATGGAAAAATGGAAAAGACAGCTGGAGAAGAGGGGACTAAGAAGTGAATTAATTTCATGTGACTATGCTGAATAGTGTTTCTAAAGATGCTCAGGACAGATGAAGAATCCAGATACCATCCCGGCAGTATTCTGAAGCAAGATTCAGGAGCTAATGTACTGCAGCAACAAGCGGACAGTCGCTGAGAGCACTCGGCCTTCTGTCCGTCCGAGGACAAGTCCAGGGCCTGACATGAACATGAATTCTGCCCCACGTTCAGACAAGGGCTGACTCTGAAACCATGATTCCTTAGCAGATCCAAACAAGATGACATCTTGAAGTTTCATCTAACAGCTAGCCTTCATGTCTGAATTAGCTTCTCCACCACTGAGATACACACAGCCACAGGTCTACCAGACAACACAAGTTACTGCACCACGAGAATCAAAAATAGCAAGTCAAATGGCTCACTACTCTCAGTTTCTTCCAGATAGGAAGATGTCTACTTACTACTACCATTGTTGGAAAGATCGTGGAAGTTTACCCCTAAGAAAGCTTTGCTCTGTTGGTATAAAATTCCAAACTTTACTGGGGCCTGAAAGACTTTCTTATCCGGCCTCTGCACTTCCCCGACTCCCCACCTCCTCATCCACTCTGTTCCACCCCACCTGTCTTACATCTTCCACTCCTATTCTTGGTCAGCCTACTCCAATCACTCGGGCTTTACACCATTCTTCACTCATGCTCATTCCCACCCTGTTTCTGCTTTCGCTTTTGCATTTCCTCCTTCAATATCACTCTTCCCCCCAACCTTCCCTCTGCTCTCTCCCTGACTTCATGTGGAATTCTATTCAGTATGACCTCCTCAGAGAAGCTTTCTCTGGCACGTGATCTAGACCCTCTAAACAAACACTGTTCTATCAGTCTCCTTTCCCCCTTTTTTTCCAAGGCTGCCATTGCTCACAAAAAAATTGTGCTTTAATTTGTCTCTTTATTTACTTTGCCTTCTACTAAATGAAAGGGGAGAGCTTGTCTAAGCCATCCTATTGCTAGATCCCTAGATTACTACCTTGTATAGAGTGGGTGCTCAAAATATATTTGCTAAATAAGGGCACAAATAAGTACAAGGAAGTTTGCTATGTTTATTAAATAGATTATTAGAATCCTAGATGTTTGGTCCACCTCATTCTCTGATAGTGTTGGAAATGTGTCACACTCAGCAAAGCATAGGTTGGATCTAACATACTTAATTTTTAAAAGGGGAAACTAATGTTCCTTTTAAATACATTTGTAGTCACATTTCATTTCAAAGCACCATCATAAGTTTTTCTTTCAAAGGTCCTTTTGAAAATATGTATTCGTTTATTCGGCCGCGCTGGGTTTCTGTGCTGCACTCAGGACCTTTGTTGAATCCTGCAGATCTTTCGCTGTAGTGCATGGACACTCTAGTTGTGATGCACCAGCGTAGCTGCCCCACGTGGAGGACCTTAGTTCACCCACTCGGGATCGAATCTGCACCTCTACACCGCATGGTGGATTCTTTTTTTTTTTTTTTTACAAAGTGGATTCTTAATCACTGGACAACCAGGGAAGTCTCCAGCATATCTTAAAGGTCTGACGAATCAAAAATATTTCCTAGAGGCCCACTTTTTTCCATATTTATACACAAATTTTAATGTAACTAAACAACCTGGGCAATCCTGTAGAGGTCATTTTTATTCCAACTTTTAACCACATATTTAGCTGTTTTTATTACACTGCACTGCATTACTATGAGACTTTAAATTCATACCAACTGGTGGTCCTGGAGCCTGCAAAACTAAAATTAAAATGCTTCATATAACATGTGCTACAAATGAAGTAATTTATTGTCCATATTAGGACACTTCTGAGAGTGAAAGAGAGACACTATTAATTATTATGCTGGGAAAAACAAGAGAAAATCAGGGGTTCTATGACGTGTGTAGCTAGCTATAGACATGAATTATGGAATAAGAATCTCAACTAGAAAACAAACTTAAATCTTTCTATATCTACAGAAATTCTGAAAAGGCTCGTTTCTTTGTGAAATCATGCCTGAAGAATGCATAGGAATGCACAGAGAAATACAATTTTAATCACTGTTAAGAAACAATGAATTCAGTGGCATTCAGTCAAACTACTGCTCTGCCTCTAAAGATTTATCTAATCAGCAAAGTACAGACTTTGCTGATTAGTTTCAAGGAAATACTAGGCACTTTTTTAATTTATTTTTTTTGAAGGATAATTGCTTTACACAATTTTCTTGTTTTCTGTCAAACCTGAACATGAATCAACTATAGGTATACATTTGGGAGATGGGAGGAAGGTTCAGAAGGGAGGGGATATATGAATACTAGGCATCTTTAAGCTAAAGGTAACACAGCTCAACTGCGGACATCTTCTTGCATTATTACAGTATGGAAGAAAATCAAAAGGCAGGTTCTAGCCACATCCTTATAAATTATTGTAAGTTAGTTCTTTAAGTCATTCTGCTTTACACTATGTACAGGCATGCCAAGTCACTTCAGTCATGTCCAACTGTTTGCAACCCTATGGACTGTAGCCCACCAGGCTCCTCTGTCCATGAGATTCTCTAGGCAAGAGTACTGGAGTGGGTTGCCATGTCCTCCTCCAGGGAATCTTCCCGACCCAGGGATCGAACCCGCGTCTCCTGTATCTCCTGCATTGGCAGGCGGGTTCTTTACCACTAGGGCCACCTGGGAAGCCTGCTTTACAGTCCACACTAAATAAAATTGTGAAAAAGCTGAAATCTCTCTTCCACATACTTTCCAGGATCCTTCTTGCCTACTGCCAGCTCAGCCATAATTCAGTCAAATCTCCTCCTTCTGGTATCCTCCCACAACAACCTGCTAACAGTCCTTTACATGCAGCCCAATTATGTCACTTCGAGCAACCATTTCATGTTCCAGGTTATCAAAGTCTGTCTGACTTTTAACTCAAACCCTAATCTGAATCTCTCTGCCTCTAACAAGAGCAGACGCTCTTTTCCATCCACAATTTCTGTACCATGCTCCCTAAACGTCCCCGGGGAAGTTACCCATAGCAGTCTTCTTTAACCCTTTTCTAGCTCTCAATAATACTCATAAAGCTTTGATACAGAAGAAAAAGAAATCAATAATTAACATCTGATTGGTTCTGCCTGGGTCCAAAACCCTACTTCCCAATATAGTCTCAACATGCCAACTTTGCGAACTCTCTCATTTCCAAATACCCAACTGGATGCAAAACACCATTTCAGGATGATCTCTAAGCTGCATATTTGTATTGTACTCACTTTTAAACACTTTCGTTTACATTTTCTCATTAGATCCTCACAATCTGGGAAAGCCTCAGGGTTATTATTATCTCCATTTTTTATGTAAGAAAATTGACTCCTTGAAGCCCTGCTCTTTAGCTACTAGTAAACTAACACTGATGAAGCAGTATCCATACAAGGAAAATGTTAGCATATTAACCAGGGCCTCTTAAAGCAATGTCTTTAGTCAAACATTCTCCTGTTGGCTCCATTATAGGCTTATTGAGAGCACTTGGAGATGGCTATAAATTAGCCAGTAATTAACAATAATTAATAATAACAGTAAATAATTAACAGTAATTAACAATAAATAATAGTAAATAATTCAGTAATTAACAATGTGCCAAGCCAGGCACTATACTAAGTATTTTGCACAGATTATCTCATTTAAACCTTGCAACTCTATGAAGTACACACGACTTGTATACCATTAAACTTAGAAAGTTTAATAAGTGGCAAAGCAGAATTTGATTCCAGAACTCACACTCTAAGTAGGACTTTCATTCCCTTAAAACTCAACATATGGGCAACTCTTCTCATTAATTTTATAATGTAAAACAAAAATTATTATATAGCACTTTTACAGATTAAAGTATATATCTCTCATATTTATCTAGGCATAGCATTGTGAGCGAGTTGGAGTTATAACTCAATTCTGATAGCACCATTTGTAAGCCATGTTACATCGGGCACATCACCTTGTGTCCTCATCGTAAAATTAAGAAAATACCACCCACCTTACATGGCTCAGCTGGTAAAGAATCTGCCTCAATGCAGGAGACCTGGGTTCAATTCCTGGGTTGGGAAGATCCCCTGGAGATGGGAAAGGCTACCCACTCCAGTATTCTGGCCTAGAGAATTCCATGGACTATATAGTCCATGGAGTCACAAAGAGTCGGACATCACTGAGTGACCTTCACTTACATGAATGATGTTGTAAGAGATAGGGATAACGTAGCTATGTGGTCATATTGTTATTGTTGTGTAGTCGCTAAGTCATGTCCAATTTTTTCTGACCTCATGGACTGTAGCCTGCCAGGCTCCTATGTCCAAGGGATTTCCCAGGCAGGAATATTGGAGTGGGTTACCATTTCCTTCTCCAGGGGATCTTCTTGCTCCAGGGACCAAACTCATGTCCTCTGCTTAGCAGGTAGATTCTTGAGCCATCTGGGAAGCCCATGTACTCATATCAACTATTACTATAAATAGTATGAATCTATGTTATGATTATTAATAACACTGTGAGTTACAAATTATTTTAATTCCTATTTTACAGCTGAAGAAACTGAGAATCAGAGAGATTAATTGAGATGCCTCAAGTTATAAAACCTGTAAGACTTAGAACAAGATTCAAAGCCAGGTCCACTGGTACTAAGCACAGCATTCTTTTTTATTACACATTTATATATGGCTTAAATCATGAGTGAGTCCTGTTATTCTCTTATTTTGTTGCCACTGCACACTAGCACCCATACTAAAACAGAACCTATTTTTAATAGCTCACGGAGATTAGTTTCATAACTTAGAATGAAGTTGAGCGAATGATGTGTACATCATCATACATAATCAAAAAAAAAACCTTTCCAAGTTATTTTTCAACTTTTATAAATTCTGCTTACATTTTATTACATTCACAAAACTATTGTGTGGCAGTCATTTAATTTATTCCTATCCAGACTAGAAGCAAAATATGTTTTGCCCAAAAGTAGACAAGTTTGCCCCAAATGGGGCAAAATATAAGCACCAAGAAGGGAGGAGTTTTTGCTTTGCTCCCTGACATATCCCAAGCTCCTACAACAGGGCCAGACACAAAGTAAATGCTCACTTAGTATTCATTACATGAGTAACACCTGATTTGTATTAATTTAACAAATGTAAATTAGCTCATGGATTTCAAGAATGACCAAAAACCTTTTCCTGTTCAAACGTCACTTAAAATCATGTAAGCAGGCAAGTAATAGCTACCATTTTTTACCCAACCTAGAACAAGTTTTGTACCCTTCTGGGTGTATAAACAGAGTGATCAGTGAAGAGAGAAGACCTCAGAGGTACCCACCCATTTCTTCTCCTCCACCTGCTCACCTTGCTGAATGATGAAATCATCAGATTGAATGCCATTGTAGTTTGCACATAGGCCACATGATTTCCCTTTATGGTCCTCAGACAGTTTCAAGTAAATTCCAGATATTCCATCCCAAGCCAATGAAAAACCAAAGGTTGTTTTCACCAGAATATAGTCAGCTAGTTTCTCAATGAAAACCTGTCCAATTGTCTGAGGCAATGTTAAACTTGAAAAACAGAACACAGGCAATCTAATAATTATGATGAAACATCAATTACAGATGATCTATTTCTTTCTTGAAGTGACAGAGAAATAAGAGATAATTATTATTCAAAATTGTTGAATAAACCATGCAATTAGATTTCCCAAGGAAGCACCCTATAGAAAATCTCAACATTTTTGAAATTTTAATATTGAAATAAATGCAGGAAAAATTATACCTATTTCTGCATACTTATTTAGATTTTATACTTAAAGAGAGTTTAAGATCATCTAAAAACGCTGCTCAACAATTGTGAAACTAAGAACAAACAATGCTCAAAGTATGTAAACATGTTGCTTCAGTGGTTATTTTGTTTAATTTTGTTTTAAAACTGGCTAAAAGGAATTAAGACCTCCTATCCTCAAAATATCACCTGGATACAAATCACCATTTTCCCATGAAAAAAGTCTAGGCATCATTAATTATGATTTACAGCTTTAATGCTGCAAAGTATATCTTTAAGAATAAAGATACTTTCCATGCAGTATTGCATAGGGATTATATTCATAATTTTTAAGTTGCATACAATTTGATCTATTTAAGCAAGTGTCACACTGAATAGTTGAACTCCTGATCCAATGTCTAGTCTTTCCACTTTTCACAAACACGTACACATTCAAGAGAAGTGAGAGACATAAGAGAACTGAAGAAAACGAAACAGTTAGGCACTTTAAAGCACAGTAAGTCCCCTAGAATGCTTTTTAAAGAACACTGTCCTCCGTCCATCAGAAAGTATTACAGGAAAGAGCAGGTGTTAGTGATTAAGGAAATGAGAGGAAAAAAATCATTTTTACTAAAATAGCCATGCTAACTGAAAATTATAAACAATAAAGTGAGTAAAATGAGAGGTTAGTAGGTAAGTTCATATACTTCTCTCAAAAATTTTGAATTATTGAGTTCCTCTCCAGGAAGTGAACATGGCTACATGAAATAAAAACTATAAGATTAAGAATACTCGTTAACAAAGGGATAGTCCCCAAAGAAACGATTCAAATGTCTGTAATCATTTGCTAGTGAAGAGAGAAGACCTCAGAGGTACCCACCCATTTCTTCTCCTCCACCTGCTCACCTTGCTGAATGATGAAATCATCAGATTGAATGCCATTGTAGTTTGCACATAGGCCACATGATTTCCCTTTATGGTCCTCAGACAGTTTCAAGTAAATTCCAGATATTCCATCCCAAGCCAATGAAAAACCAAAGGTTGTTTTCACCAGAATATAGTCAGCTAGTTTCTCAATGAAAACCTGTCCAATTGTCTGAGGCAATGTTAAACTTGAAAAACAGAACACAGGCAATCTAATAATTATGATGAAACATCAATTACAGATGATCTATTTCTTTCTTGAAGTGACAGAGAAATAAGAGATAATTATTATTCAAAATTGTTGAATAAACCATGCAATTAGATTTCCCAAGGAAGCACCCTATAGAAAATCTCAACATTTTTGAAATTTTAATATTGAAATAAATGCAGGAAATTTATACCTATTTCTGCATACTTATTTAGATTTTATACTTAAAGAGAGTTTAATATCATCTAAAAATGCTGCTCAACAATTTTGAAACTAAGAACAAACAATGCTCAAAGTATGTAAACATGTTGCTTCAGTGGTTATTTTGTTTAATTTTGTTTTAAAACTGGCTAAAAGGAATTAAGACCTCCTATCCTCAAAATATCACCTGGATACAAATCACCATTTTCCCATGAAAAAAGTCTAGGCATCATTAATTATGATTTACAGCTTTAATGCTGCAAAGTATATCTTTAAGAATAAAGATACTTTCCATGCAGTATTGCATAGGGATTATATTCATAATTTTTAAGTTGCATACAATTTGATCTATTTAAGCAAGTGTCACACTGAATAGTTGAACTCCTGATCCAATGTCTAGTCTTTCCACTTTTCACAAACACGTACACAATCAAGAGAAGTGAGAGACATAAGAGAACTGAAGAAAACGAAACAGTTAGGCACTTTAAAGCACAGTAAGTCCCCTAGAATGCTTTTTAAAGAACACTGTCCTCCGTCCATCAGAAAGTATTACAGGAAAGAGCAGGTGTTAGTGATTAAGGAAATGAGAGGAAAAAAATCATTTTTACTAAAATAGCCATGCTAACTGAAAATTATAAACAATAAAGTGAGTAAAATGAGAGGTTAGTAGGTAAGTTCATATACTTCTCTCAAAAATTTTGAATTATTGAGTTCCTCTCCAGGAAGTGAACATGGCTACATGAAATAAAAACTATAAGATTAAGAATACTCGTTAACAAAGGGATAGTCCCCAAAGAAACGATTCAAATGTCTGTAATCATTTGCACAAAGATGTTTGCAGATAATTATCTAGCCATAAGATTTCATTTTAAGAATAAGAAAATAACTAAAATTTATATTGGGGAATAAATAAGAAGACTTTCCTGTCATAATCTATACTTATTAAAATTAAAAACACAAGAAATTCATTTTAAATTGAAGGTAAGTTAGCATGAATAATAATAAGAAGAAGAAGTTAGTATGAATAATATTTTTTACGTTTGCAAGTTTACAAAAGCTATACTTGAGAAAAGTGAGTCATGTTTTATAAAGATATTCCATTGCAATGGGATGTTCACTGCAGGGAGGAGTTCACTGCAGGAGTCGCTCTGTTGTGGGTATTCCTTGGTTAGTCATTTGTCACATGATCTCTTTCACAGGAAATTTGATTAAGTACACAATTTTTGAAAATAAAATAAAAGATGCTAGTAGAGATGAGTGGTGATTCTAAAAATTTGATAATCTCCCATAGATTTAAGAAAAACCCCATGCAACCCAGGCAGGAAACAATAACAATGTAAACTAAAATGAATGCACAGATTCATTCCGAAAATTATTCACAGGTTCGTATGTACCAAAACCCTTCATTTCACAGGGGAGGCAACTGAAATTGAGAAAGGTAAAATATGAGGTGCAGAGTCTCACGCATTTGATTTCCTTTTGGTAAACATTTTTCTAGCACCTGCTATGAGATAGGTCTTAGGCCAAGAAGAGCATTATTATAAGCAATTTAGCTGAATAATAAGGAAACCATTTCCTTTTTATTATACAAATGGAAATCTTCAAAATAATATTTTCTCTAACTTAAAATTTAAATGTGATCTCCTATTTTTAACAAAGGGTTGGTATTCTTGAAAATCTAATTGAATGACACTTTTGTTTTATAAAACCATAATTTTAGGTGCCCGCTATGCTATCCCAAATTCCATATAAAAATCCTGAACCACTATTTAAATTGAGCTCCAAGAAATATATACATAAATATATTACTTTCCCATTCAAATGGATAAGCTTTCTTTTATAAGAAATTGAAAAGTACAGAACCCAACTGATCAAGAAAATAAGCCCAAGAGGGGCTGCTTGGGGTTGCTTGACTATGACGAAGCCTGGGTCAGAGCCTGCCTCCCCTGGTGCTTCATCTAAAGCCTTTCTGCTGTCACCTGCTGCCTCTTGAGGAATCTAAATTGAGAAAGCATAGGTTGCTACAGCTATTGTACCGGAAAGAATTCCCATGGTTAAGACACTTGCTGGTGAATTGTGAATGATGGATAGAATTGTTCTATCAGATAATTATTTTTCTTGACAAAGTAATGTCAGCCAAAACAGAAAAAAAAAATACTTGCCATCATAAAATATGCCCTATTAGAGGAAAACAGTTAATAAAATTTATGACAAAATGTGACTAAAATATATACTATGCTTGATGACATGAAAGACAAATATTAAGCAGAGAAAACAGAATGTGTCAAGGGTTGAGAGGCAACTTAAAATTGAGTATTTCTATACTTATTAAGCTTGGAAGATAGATTATTACACTGTACTTCTAGTTTAAAATGTAAAACCTTCTATCAAATAAATTAACATCCATTTCCCCAAAAGTTTCAATTCTAGGAGTGAGCCCCTCTCTTATCTATTCAAGACCAGTTATTTATTGCAGGTAACTCTAACAGAAAATCCTAAGTGATACCTAAAGTTCATTTACACAAATTTGGAATGGATTTTCAGAGGTTCAGTTTTAATTTGATTGTTTAAAAAAGAAGAAGAAAAGATTTATGAAAGGGAGCAAAAAATAATTTAAGAGTTGAACTATGAGGATTTTTCCTTAATCTCTCTTACAAGTAGATGTAACAATCTTATTTCTACCAATAAAGGTGTATGTGTATCCTGCACAAATGTTAGGGAAGCTAAACTGTTCAGATTTCTTGTTACCTGGCTAGCTTTGGAGCTACTGAAATTTTGATGTCTGCATGCTCTAACTCAGGGCTTCCCTGGTGGCTCAGTGATAAAGAATCCACCGGCTACTGCAGGCAACATGAGTTCAATCCCTGGTCAGGAAAATCCTTGGAGAAGGAAATAGCAATCTACTCCAGTATTCCTGCCTGGGAAATTCCATGGATGGAGCAGCCTGATAGGCTATAGTCCATGGGGTTGCAAAAGACTTGACTTAGCAACTAAAGGACAAGAGCAAATGCTGTAACTTAAAGGTTGTTGTTGTATTTGACTCTTTGCGACCCCATGGACCAGAGTTCACCATGCTCCCCTGTCCATGGAATTCTCCATGCATTTCCTTCTCCAGGAGATCCTCCTAACCCAGGGATTGAATCTGTGTCTCATGTCTCCTGCATTGGCAGGAGAGTTCTTTACCACTAGCACCGCCTGGGAAGCCCAACTCAAAGGTTACCGCTGAAGAAATCCTCTCTTCCTACTCTCCACATTCAGTTCCAGAGTGAGATATTTAGAAATTCTGTTAATCTGTGATGTTTTCATTCTATCATTTATCATATCTTACCTGATTCCATTCTTTTTTATTTCATGCCCATAAATTCGAATTTCTTCTTGGTCTGAAAAGAACAAGCTGATCGAGCGATAACAATAATACACTGAACCAAGGCACTTAGGGCTATTGTGAACCTTAAAGGGAGAAAAACAAGAGGAAGCACAGAAACCAACAACAACACATATACATGTTTTCATTCGAGTTATTAAGTCCACAACGCATGTCTATAGTTTTAAAGCATTAGTTCCATGACCCTTTACAAAATTATAACTACATTTAGGATTTCCAAGAGAAAAAAAAGATATTGACCTCAGGAATTGGACAGCAGAATTAACTTCATAAACCACAAGTTATTCTAGCTTATTTATTTAAATGAGCTGAATTGTCACATGCAGGATGTAACAGTCTAAAACTATGTGGTATGCATCAGAAGAAAAAAAAAATAGTTCTGATAGGAAGACAGTAGAGCACCACAAAGAAATACATCTGTAATTTTCGTGTCCATAATTTTTACCTGTTCAAGAAGAAAATCATGAAATAGAGTTTCAAAGGGAGTTCTACATAGAGTAATGTTTAAAGCTTGCAAAAGTAACTAAAACTCTCTAAAAATAAAATTGTGCAGGCACTTTAGGGAAGAATGATTATCAAAAATTTGATGAGAAAATTAGTTTACCAGTAAAAAACAATTTAAGTAAGGAAGAAAAGAGAGGAGAGGAAGAAAGGAGATGAGGAATATCAGATTCTCTTACTCCACCAACATAAATCTCAAAAGGTCCAAATAATGACACCAGAAAATAACTGAAAAAATATAGATAACTACATAGATAGAAAAGAACTTTCAAAGAATAAAATTGATAAGGAAAATCACCAATGATAATATAAAATTTTAAAATTGCAAGAATGTAATATATATTAATTTAGTGATTAATAAGCAAATTTTACTGATCACTTATATACTGAGGACTGTTCTAGATTCTGGAGATATATTAGTCAAACAAAATAGACAAAAATACCTGCCCTCATGAAACAAATTTCATTAGAGGAAAACAGTTAATAAAAAAATAAAATTACATGTAATTGAAATATATACTCGGCTAAATGACATGGCGAAATATTAAATGGAGAAAAGAGACAGAGAGTGTGTGTATCAAGGGTTGTTGGCAGTCAGGGTAGGGGGGAGTTTAGGTTGAATGGCCAACAAAAGCCTCACTGAGAAGAGGAAATCTAGTAATAAAGATGAAGGAAATACAAGAGCAAGCCATGTGGAGTGGATATTTAGACCATTTCATGCAAAAGAAATAGCAAATGCAAAAGTCTAAAGTAGAAGTAGAACTAAAATGTTCTCAGTATCCAGGAATCCAGACATAGGACCTCAGACAGGATAGTGGAAGCTTTTCCTTGAATAAACAAAATGGAAAAAGATGCACAGATACTAATGAAGTGAAAGTAAAAGTTGCCCAGTCATGTTTGACTCTTTGCAACCCCATGGACTGTACAGGCTCCTCTGTCCATGGAATTTTCCAGGTAAGAATCCTGGAGTGGGTAGCCACTTCCTTCTCCAGGGGATCTCCCCAACTCAGGGATTGAACCTGGGTTTTCCAATTGCAGGCAGGCTCTACCATTGAAGCCATCAGGGAAGCCCCACAGATATCAATATCTGGGGCTTATTTAATGAAACTAGAGGTTTCCTGCTCAAGTTCCCACTAGGCAAGAAAGTCCCCATCCACATATTCAGAGCTTCTAACCAGCTTTTAGAACCTAATACTCAAATGTGAATAAACATTCATGGATCATTTGATGAAAGCCTGCAACATGAAAGGCAGATGCCAAATAAACCAAAAAAAAAAAAAAAAAGGAGCTGTTTTAGGAGNGGCATGTACTCCAAGGAGCAGGTAGTCTAAGTTGCCCAAGTTGTTTCCCAGGAACTTGAAGTCAGGGGAGTCTAGTTTGAGTTAAACTGGTTAAGACTGGAAAGGATTCCTGCCCCTTCAACTGGCCACACACAAGTGTCTCAACCCAGAAAGCACTACATACAAGCACTGCCCACATGAGCAGAGCATCCAGTGAGCTTTCAGAGCCTGTGTCTCAATTATAAACAAAAACTCAAGAATTGCTAGACATCTCACAGGACCTAAGAAACAAGGGTGGCTCTAGGGGTAAGGAATCTGCCTGTCAATGCAGGAGATGTAACATATGTGGGTTCTATTCCTGGGTCAGGAGGATCCTCTGGTGTAGGAAATGGCAGCCTGCTCCAGTATTCTTGCCTGGAAAATTCCATGGACAGAGGAGGCTGGTAGGCTACAGTCCATAGCGCCGCAGAGAGTCAAGCATGCCTGAGTGACTAAGCACAAGAAACAGAGAAACCAATCCAGGAGAGAGAAGAATGAAACTCACCAGGAAAATGTGAAAAGAAATTCCCAACGCTAGGTGTACAGTAGGCTCAAAAGCAATCAGTCCCAATTGGAACAGGAGGATAAAAAACTGAGAAAGGGATAACTCATGGGAAGGAAAGAGAAATTGAGACTGCCTGATTTATCTGACCATATTGAGAGGAGTTGAAGGGAAAAAATGATTAAAGTATAGAAAATGCAGCAAACAAAAAATGAGATAACTTAATTCTACAAAATTGTACAAAGAGAAATGAAATCACAATAACATTAGGCTCAGCTCTCAACAATACTTATATAGCTGTTGTTCATATATGTAATATATGTAAATGACAATAATGTAAAAACCACATATGATGTAACCAATAACAGTGATGTAATTCCATTAACAAGAGGAAAGGAAAGTGTGAATGTGTGTGTGCGTGTGTGTGTTTGTGTAGTAGAGGCAGGACGGATGATGTGACAGATGACTTCCCATTTTCCATAGTAAAAAGTGAATAAGTCCTAACTTTGAAAAATAAAGAAATAATAGCACATTTTAATGTGTTAGGTAAAAATAAGAAGAAATAGCTAAAAAGTTGAAGTAATTGCCTTTGGAGAGTCAGATTTTAGCTGGGGTCAAGGAGTGAAAAAAGAGGGGCTATTTATCTTCATGTATCTTGATCAGATCTTTTAAACTAAATATATGTGTTATTTTCATAAAAATAAAATTGAATTTAAAGAAAAAGAATCAAAAATATAAAAGTATATATGCATAAAGATATTTATAAATACATGTCTCTTAAAATACTGAAATATTTTAAAATCTAAATATCTAAAACAGAATATAATTAACTAATTTCAGTACTCCACAGTTGGAACAAGTACAGCTAAAAAAATTTGTGTTTCTCAAAAACATTTGACATGGAAAATAGTTCTTGATACAATATTAGGTGAAATTGTGGTGAGGAAAATTATACATAGTAAAGTTTCACCTTTATAAGTGTGTATAAAGTCCAGAGGGAAAATTTAGAGGGAAATATATGAAGCCATTAGCACTAGTAAGTCTTGACTGATAATTCTAATAGTATTTTTATACTTTGAATTTTTTCAATTTTCTACAAAAGAGGTGAACAGCTTTACAATCAGAGAAAAGATGACATTTCAAATAAATGGATTTGTTGATGTGAAAACAAATTTCACCCACCAAACTGAGCCAAGTAGAAACAATATCTATTAACTCTGAAAGCACAGAGCTTTGTGTGTTATCTCCCAATTATCTAGTTGACACCTCAGTCCTCAAAAGGGCCAGACACTGGACAAGAACATTTCAATGAAAGAGTCAGAAGGTGTTTGAGTGATAAAGTCAGTAACTCCTTCCCAGAGTGGAGGAGTAAAGGACAACAGTGAACTGAGAACAGGAGCCCTGTATGAACTAAAAATGCATATCCCTAACTCCCCTATCTAAAGAGACCTCCAATTTTTTACCCTTATGTCCCGTAAGTTAACTTTCAATAGACTTCATTTTCTTTTGAGGTCACAGGGATTTGTTGCTGTTAAAAAGCATCAGGACTGAATTTTTAATATTTCCCTCATCTAAGAGAGGAGGAGAGTTAGGCAACTCCAACATGTCAGAGAGATTCAAAAAGAGATTCAAACAAATGATGGCTATGGAGGGTTTTAGCTTTAGAACAGGACAACACTGCAGTTTTCTGGTTTTGCTTTGAGGTATCAGAAAATTCAGAAGACGCAGGCAGGGAAAAAGGTCCCTTCCTGACGTCCTTACATCAGCCAGAGGCTCCCTGAAGCTTACATTTCGAGATGTTTCTCCTATGAATTCTTCTGAAGCAAGAATGCTGCAACTAAGAACTCTGAGTTCAATCATATAGTATAAATCTACCTAGAAATTAGCTACCTGTCCCCATATCCTCTAGCTTGTGTTTATGCAATTCATACATTCCATTTCATAAACTCCAGTCCCCAGTTCACACTGAGATATGTCTTTTAAGAAACTCCAGATGACCATCACACTGGAAATGCCAAGAAGGAAACATATACAAGTAGCATGATTGATGCCTGAAGCTACCCTCTCTTTTTGAATTGATCAAATAAAAATTGAAAAATGAGTATATCAACTGGAGTTGACATTACAATATCCATGATACAGACATTCCTGCATTGCCTACATGTCCCTACCTTATGGATCCAAACCAGTCTTCTCCCAGTCCTAGGCCCCATCTTCATAGAAACATGCTCATAATAGTTACAGATTTGGCCCATCCCATTCAGAATCAGACCCCTCCTTCCCTAATAAGAGCTCTAAGTATTCATGCTATGATTACTATATATTTTTCATCATTTGTCTAGTACTTTAAAAATACAGACTTGGCCAGAAAGAACTAATTACGTCCTAGGATCACCTACCCACACAGTATACCGAGGTTCCAAATTACCGCAGTCCTTTGCAAAAATGTAAGAACAGTTTCCCGGGAAATAATAGTAGATGCCATCAAAAGTTTCAAAGTGGTATTGTCCCCAGGTTTTGCAAATCCCATCTCTGCCATTGCCCATGTTTGGCACTGAAAAGAAAGAGGATAATATTCAGTAGAATAAAACACAAATGATAGCTGTTTCTTACAAAGTTCAGTCATGGTTCAGTTCAGTTCAGTTCAGTCGCTCAATCGTGTCCGACTCTTTGCAACCCCATGAATTGCAGCACGTCAGGCCTCCCTGTCCATCACAAACTCCCGCAGTTTACTCAAACNCTTCCTTAATTTTTGCTTTCAAACAAAGACTTTGGAGGAGAGAAAGAGAGGGAAGAATGATACAGTAAAAGAAGGTGACAGTGATAAAGCAAATATAATGACTCTAAAAAAGAGGAATGTCACCACAAAATATCCTAAAAATTTACACTGGCAGCATCAGAATATTCTGGTCTCTGCAATTCTTTGAAAATAACAGGATCCACAGAGAAAACTAACCATTGGCCAAAAAATCACGTTTATAAGTCTGGGACCTGGGAATGGGGAGCATTAGTCATCCAAATTCCAAAGAATTTCAGAATTCATGACCTCAAACTGGTCACATTGTAAGCAGTGTTTGTCTTGCAGCATGCAGAGTCATCTCATGTTGCCTCCATGTCTATCTCCCTTTACACCTTTGTGGATGGCCCATTTTTATTTTCTCTACCCTTCTTTCTCAATTAATATGGGAATCAGTGACATTTACTGAGCATTCATTGATTAAGACATTAGAGTATGTTAATATACTCTATAGGTAGCATAAAGAGAAGGCACAATCATATCTTTTCTTTTTGTAATTTATGTAAACAGATTAGCTTTGGCCAACTTAGACCTTTCCAAGAAAAAATACAGAGCTAGTTATTCATTATTCTGGCAGTGTTTTCTGATAGTATGCCTTATGTCTATTGCATATTTTCATAAAATCTTGCACTTTATAGCACATCATAATATAATTACTGTTATCTTATATCCTGGTCCTCTCCTCTAGACTGTAATCTCCATCAGGGCAGAAACATATCTGTATTATTCACTGTTTTCAGTGTCCAGCCTGGGATCTAGTAGATGCTCAGTAAATACTCATTAAACAAATGGATTTTATTATTTATTATCGATGTAGGGAACTATATTAGATACTGTGGATAAAAAAAAGTTTAAGAACCCTCTGCTCTGAAGAGTTCTCAGTACTATTTCTCTCTTTAAAAAAGTGTGTTAGTTGCTGTCATATCCAACTCTTTGTGACCCCAGGGACTGTAGCCCTCCAGGCTCCTCTGTCCATGGGATTCTCCAGGCAAGAATATTGGAGTGAGTAGCCATTCCCTTCTCCAGGAAATCTTCCTGACCCAGGAATCGAACCTGGATCTCTGGAATTGCAGGCAGATTCTTTACTGTCTGAGCCGCCAGAAAAGCCCATGTTCAGAATATTCCATTAATTCAAAGTCAAAAAAAGAATGAGTGGCTCCAAATAACAAATCTAATTTATACAACAAAAGAAAGATGAATGGAAACCTGGTTTTAATAGGCAAATACAATTTAAAATGGAAAAAAAAAAACTTGAATCGCATTTTTAAAAAGTACTTTAGGAATAAACCTGACCAAGGAAGTTTAAGACTCATACCCTGAGAACTATAAGATACTGATATAGGAAATTGAAGATGATTTAAAGAAATGGAAAAATATCCCACGCTCTGGGGTTGGAAGAATTAATATTGTTAAATGGCCATACTACCCAAAGTGAAATACCAATTTAATGCAATCCCTCTCAAATTACTCATGACATTTTTCACAGAACTAGAAAAAATAATCCTCAAATTTATATGAACCATAAAAGTCCCAGGATTGACAAAGCAATCCTGAGGAAAAATAACGAAGAAGGAAGCCTAACCCTCCCAGACTTCAGACAAAGCTACAGTAATCAAATCAGTGTGGTGCTGGAATAAAAACAGACATATGGATCAATAAAACAGAATAGAGAGCCCAGAAATAAACCCACACAGCTATGGTCAATTAATCTTTATCAAAGGAGGCAAGAATATACAATGGGGAAAAGACAGGTTCTTCAGCAAGTGGTGTTGGGAAAGCTGGACAGCCACATGTAAATCTATGAAGTTAGAACACTCCATACCACCTACAAAAATAAGTCAAAATGGCTTAAAGACTCACATATAAGATATGACATCATGAAACTCCTAGAAGAACACAGGCGAAGCTTTATTTTACATAAATCATACCAATATTTCCTTAGATCGGTCTCCCAAGGCAACAAAAATTAAAGCAAAAAACAAACAAATGGGACCTAGCCAAACATAAGCTTTTGTACAGCAAAGGAAAGCTTAGAAAGAAAAGACAGCTTATGGACTGAGAGAAAATATTTGCAAGTGATGTGAGAAACAAAAGCTTAATTCCAAAAATGTACAATCAGCTCAAATGTTCAACACAGCTCAATAACAACAACAACAAAAAAAAAACCAAACAACATGATTTAAAAAATGAGAAGACCCAAATAAACATTTTTCTAAAGAAGACATACAAAAATCACTAATTATCAGAGAAATGCAAATCAAAACTACAATGAGGTACCATCTCACACTGGTCAGAATGGCCATCATGTAAAAGTCTACAAATAACAAATATGCAGGAGAGGACATGGAGAAAAGAGAACCCTCCTACTCCATTGGTGGGAAAGTAAATAGGTACAGCCATCATGGAAAACAGTATGGAGGTTCCTCAAAAAACTAAAAGCCCACTCCTGGGCATATATCTGGACAAAACTATAATTCAAAAAGATACATGCTCTTCTATGTTCATAGCAGCACTATTCACAAGAGCCGAGACATGGAAACAACCTAAACGTCCATTGACAGATGAATGGGTAAAGTTGTGATAAATACATACAGTGGCATCCTCCTCAGCCATAAAAAAAAAAAGAATAAAATAATGCTATTTACAGCTACATGGATTGACCCAGAGATTATCACACTAAGCAAAGTAAGTCAGAAAGAGAAAGACAAATATCACATGATATCACTCATATGTAGAATCTAAACTACGACACAAATGAACCTATCTTCAAAACAGAAATAGATTCATAGACTTATAGAACAGACTTGTGACTACCAAGGTGGTTGGGAATGGGAAAGGGTTGGATTGGGAGTCTGGGACCAGCAGATGCAAAGTATTATATATAGAATGGGTAAGCTAAAAGGTCCTATTGTATAGCACAGAGAACTATACTCAATATCCTTGAACCATGATAGAAAAAATATGAAAAAAATAATATAATACTGTAAGTCAACTATACTTTAAAAATTAAATAAAAAATCTAAAACCAGAAAAAATACTTGAACTAGTAGAGTTCAATGAGAAGTGAAAGAGGGCATACCCATTTTCTTTCGCATTGTTTCAAAATTACTGGAAATAAATCGTGGATACTCTAGTTAATACACAATATGATTGTCCCAAATCCCAAAGGATGAACGCTAATACAGCAAATTATGCCTTCATGCTCTCTGTAGCACCTCATAATTCTCTCATAAGTATCCCTGAAACTTACCAATCTGGCACCGTGTCCCAAGAGCCTGAAATATTTGACAGTCACATGTACCAGCCTTAGAACAGAAAGCTCCGTTAAGGCATTCATGAGGACAAGAACCTGGAGGGCAAAAACAATCAGTTATCTTCTGGCATGCATCAGTTTTTATAAACACAATCCATCAAGATTTAGCTTGGACTAACTGTAACCTCTGTTAACTCAAACAGAACCCTGGGCCTACTGCCTTGATAAGCTAAAGAATTAAGCTCCTCAAGTCTCTATCTAATTCATTTCATTATGTGTGCTGTGAAACAAGAAGGACAGGCTTTCACATCTCAAACTACCCTGAGAGCAAAGGTTAGCCTCCTTCAGGCAATTGAAAGGTCAAGTTCCCATGTAAGGAATCCCTGTCCCAGATGATGAGAACCAGAAACACACAGGCTGCAGATGATTCCCTTGTCAGAGTTTGGCACCAGCTGCACGACTGATCAGCTACCTCTCCAGGAGCAAGTGTGGCGTTATTAAAGACAAACGTCCATCATTAGCTCAAGGGATGAGGCACAGTATAGAACTAGAAAAGAAATTCTTATTTTTTAAGAGAACGATTAAAGATTCTATTTGAAGTTGTGCATTAATCCTCAGGCTTAATTGCAAATGACGCATCCTTTCTGACCCATAGCTAATTTTAATGGGGCAGAAGCCAAAGCTGCTGCTGGCTGTCACCAAAAATATTTTTTTTCTTTCACGGGAAGAAAAATCACCCCGAAGGATTATGTTGGAAAGAGAAAGAAAGAAACTATGAGCTCCAGAGTGAGTTTGAAAGCTGCAAATGAATCACAGTGAAAATCCCTCCTCTAATAAGGAGAAGACAAGAAGCACTGGCAAACCTCAACAGGAAGGATTTAAGCATCACATCAAGAGAACTAGAGAACATCTTTGAGTGACCATCAAGTGTTTACTAAAGACTGGCTCTCTTTGGAGTATGGTAAGGTCATGAAAGGCACTAGTCTAATTGTGGTATTTTAACCACAGCTCTGCAGAAGGCAAGAATTTAAAACTCTATTATCCTTGCACCTTAAGATCCATTGATCTAAAATGTCTCCACTTTTAAAGACATACAACTCTCTAATTATATCTTAACTGACAAGAAATGAGCTGTTTTAATTCTGATCATAAATATAGATAAAAATGACATTTGTCATAAATTTAAATGCAGTTCTCTTTTTCTGGTGGGGGTACAATATATACATATATCTTCGAATTTTATCTTAGGTCACAATATTGTATTTTTCCAATCAATAAATGTCAAAGTAATTACATAAGCATACATAATTATCACCTTCAAAAATTTATTTACAACCCTGTTTATTCTCCTGAAAACAGATACCAAAACAAAACTGGTCAGAAACCCCTGTTTTTTTAAAAAAAAAAAAAAATCAAACTGAATTTCAAACTACCATTAGCATTCTGCTAAATGAGAAATTGGTAAGTGAAAAGAGCAATGTCAAAGAATCAATTGATTCAGGGAAAAAAAAAAATTTGATATCCAGTGATATCTTTCCTGGTCATACAGCTATGAGGTTTGTCTGTTTAACCTTGCTTGTTTCCAAATATAATTCATATTTGTATGTGAAGTAAACCTAAACTAATACTAAATACTATTACCACCCTAGTTCAGTTTCCTTCACGCATTATACGGAAATTACAGAGTTCATTCACTATACTCCCCAAAGGGGTCTTTTGAGAAAGCAAATACAAAACCACAGATTTAGCACTGACCTTTTATTTTGCTCTCACCCCAATTAATAGCTTCATGGAAGAAGTATCTTGGAGAAGTTGCTTCAAACTTTAAAAGAAAGAAATCAGAATTCAAGAGAATTAAATTATTTAATTCAAGACAAACATGCAAATTGGAAAACCTGGAAAACAGCTACAAACACAGAAATCATAAAGATTCCTGACTGATTCCATATTTCCTTGGACTACTAAGGCAAAATCTTGGAGCAGCAGAAAGGGCTTCTCCTGGGTTGTAGTCAGATTTGACTTCAAGGTTTGGTTTTGTTTCCTGAATCTGACAAGTCCTTCATCCTCTCTGACCTCAGTTCTGCCTCCCTGCCCTCCTTGGAAAAGAGCCTGGTGGGAATCTAATCTTTGCATTAGCTGACTGCCTTGCCTGCAGAAGTAGCAGTTTTTAAATATTTCCAAGTACAGATGAGTTTGGAGAAAATGCACAGGACGGAAGGACCAACAGACAGGTGTACCCACTGTCTGCAGCCCATCTGGGCAAGACACCGTCCACAGGAGCCTCAGCGCAGAAGTGGGAGCGCGACATCCTGAGTCTCCAAAGAGCTGCCACTCTAAAGTTCATAGAGCTGTTAAATGTATCTTTTCATAGAGCCCAAAGGACATCAGGGTGTTCATTAAGAGCATGAATTATAGAATCAAAAGGTTCTGGATTAGAGGCCTGATTCTGCCACTATTTACTCTAAGGCAAATTTCTTAACTGCTTAGCGCCTTCTTTTACTTGTCTGTAAAATGGGAACAATGATACATACTTCACTGTGTAGCTGTAACAACGAATTTTAATAAATGTATATAAAGATTCCAGCATAACATCTCACACGCAGAAGATTAGCAAGAAAGAGGTGTATATTAATCTAAGGAACTCAGATAAAATTATAAGATTTAGAGAGGTTAATACAGGGTAGTAGTAAATAATTGTGGATTATTAAAACTAATCAATTATGGCTTTTTATTCCAATTTAATGCCAATTTTGTGTATGATCTGGGGCAATATGTCCTTTCCAATAGGATTTTTGCATTCACCAGAAGAATACTTATTCCCCAAATTTGCCACATAATAGTTAAATTGACTACCAGAGGATGTTAGGAAAACTGGAAAGAGTGAAGGATAAGAAGAAAGGAGGATAGAGAATGTGATTTCAGGTACAAAGCCCTTTTTCAACAGATTCTGGTCTCCTTTCTACATGGTAACGTTTTCTTTTAACAGGCAAAGCTGCCCCATGGCAGACAAAAGGACACCCACACTCACCTCTTCAAGGCTCTTTTCTAAAGTCTCTGGCCCATATCATGGCTCACTGTGGTCTGCTTTCATTCCTCCAAGATTTTGTCCTCACTGTTCAGCCTCCTCTTGTTGCCCTTTCCTCTCTCTTCAAGCTAAGTCAGACCCACAACAGTCTATGACCTGGATTCCCCCAAGACAAGGCTTACTCTCTCTTTAGCTGTATTGCCTGGGGCTGCCCAAACCTAACACAACCTCCAGCATTACCGGGCACCAAACTCTTCTCGTATTGGTGCCAACGAATCCTTGCTGGTCTCACTGACTTCAGCTCTGGCTCATACAGGCCCATTAATGAGAACAAATGACTTAACCTGCTCAGTCTCAGTTTCCCAATCTGTAAAATGGAATAACAATAAATGTCTCACACAATTGTGAGAATGAAATAAGTAAAGCACCAAGAACGGTGCTAGGCTCATAATAAGTTTTTGTAAATATGTTACCTACTTATATTATTAAGCAAAAACTGATTAAAGTTTAATCAGTTAACTACACTGGATAACACTAGACCAAGACAAAAATATATAATTTGTTTTTCACTCAACTTAGGCTGCATCTCCTCCATGGAAACCACAGTGACTACCTAGGACACCAACCTCCTGGTCACCACAATATCCTATTCACTGCGACATTCCAGGCATCATATTATAATGTTTCACTAATGCTAAGACATGACACCTAGCTTTTATTTTTACAACAGATCTGAACTCAGAATGGCATATCTTATGTTTATAATTGGAGGTTTTTTTCATTTTTCATGTCATACAAACAATAGCAGATAGTTGGTGGTGCCTTCAATTCAATGAACAAGTCACACAGAAGGACTTCTTTACAGGTCTGCCTCCACTAGACTCTGAGTTTCTAGAGAACAAGCACTGCTGCTCATGGTTATATCTCTAGCACGGCCCCTTTTAAGTTGTCAACAAATACCAACTGAACCAAAAATAGACCTTACGCAAATGGGAGTGATCTGCCTCCCAAAGCTGTTTAGAACCATGACTACAAAACGTTCTGTTGATGCCCCTCCTCACATCCTCTTAGTCCATCTTGAACTTTGCCTGCATCTGGGGGTTTGAGCATGCTGAAACTCTCAAGCACCAGCTTCTTTTTGTCTCTGCCTTAGGGTAGAGTCCAAGCAGAACAGACAGGAGAAATGCCTTTCAGGAGATTTAAGTGCCCCAGAAGCTGCCCTCCACCAGTGAGAGGCAGGTGTGGGTGGATAAGTATCCCAGCTAGGCGATTCCTTGGAGAAACAATTCTAAAACACTCTACACAGTTCCTTGGAGGGATGCCCGCAAGACTGAGCCCCAGATGTTTAAAGCAGGAAGACCCCTCATTAATAGAGATGTGCTGGATTGTCTCCCTTCCTGGGCTCCCTTTCCTCCCCTCACCCCACCCCGGCACATGCAAACTATCCCTGCCCTCTAATAAACAATCTGCCTCTGCCTTCAGGGAAGAATTCTGAAATGTGACACAAATGCAATAAAAGTTATAAGCTGTGGGTGCATATATTCACATAACTGACGAAAGAGGACAGCCCGTTCCTCCTCAGTGCCGATTACAGATCCACAGGAGGGCGAGGAGCACAGAGAAATCCTGCAGTACACAGTCACAGGGAGAGTGGTACAGAGATGGTACAGAGACAGTCAGAGACAGTCAGAGACGGTGCAGAGACAGTCAGAGACAGGACAGAGACAGTCAGAGACGGTCAGAGATAGTACAGAGACAGTCAGAGACAGTGCAGAGATGGTCAGAGACAGTACAGAGACAGTCAGAGATGGTACAGAGACAGTCAGAGACAGTCAGAGATGGTCAGAGACAGGGCAGAGACAGTCAGAGACAGTGCAGAGACGGTCAGAGACAGTCAGAGATGGTCAGAGACAGTCAGAGACAGACAGAGATGCTACAGAGACAGGACAGAGATGGTACAGAGACAGGACAGAGACAGGACAGTCAGAGACAGGACAGAGACAGTCAGAGATGGTACAGAGACAGTCAGAGATGGTACAGAGACAGTCAGAGACAGTGCAGAGATGGTCAGAGACAGTCAGAGACAGTAAAGAGACAGAGACAGGACAGAGACAGTGTAGAGACAGCACAGAGACAGTGCAGAGACAGTCAGAGATGGTACAGAGACAGTCAGAAACAGTCAGAGGCAGAGACAGTCAGAGACAGGACAGAGACAGTCAGAGACGGTACAGAGACAGTGCAGAGACGGTCAGACAGTCAGAGACAGGATAGAGACAGTCAGAGATGGTACAGAGACAGTCAGACAGTGCAGAGACAGTGCAGAGATGGTCAGAGACAGTCAGAGACAGGACAGAGACAGTCAGAGATGGTACAAAGACAGTCAGATACAGTCAGAGACAGTGCAGAGACAGGACATAGACAGGACAGAGACAGTCAGAGACAGTGCAGAGACGGTCAGAGACAGTCAGAGACAGACAGAGATGGTACAGAGACAGGACAGAGATGGTACAGAGACAAGACAGAGACAGGACAGTCAGAGACAGGACAGAGACAGTCAGAGATGGTACAGAGACAGCCAGAGATGGTACAGAGACAGTCAGAGACAGTGCAGAGACAGAGAGAGTCAGAGACAGTCAGAGACGGTACAGAGACAGTCAGAGACAGTCAGAGACGGTCAGAGACAGTGCAGAGACGGCCAGAGACAGTACAGAGACAGACAGAGACAGTGCAGAGACAGTCAGAGACAGTGCAGAGACAGTTAGAGACAGACGGAGATGGTACAGAGACAGGACAGAGACACGACAGTCAGAGACAGTCAGAGACAGCAAAGAGACAGTCAGAGACGGTACAGAGACAGGACAGAGATAGTCAGAGTCAGGACAGAGACAGGACAGAGACAGTCAGAGACAGCAGAGAGACAGTCAGAGACGGTACAGAGACAGGACAGAGACAGCAGAGAGACGGTCAGAGACGGTACAGAGACAGCACAGAGACAGGACAGAGACTCACAGAGACAGTCAGAGACAGCACAGAGACAGTGCAGAGACAGGGCATAGTGATAGGGACATTGGCAGAAGTACGTATCTGCCCTTCTCTGCTCACTGTTAACTCATTGTCAGTGTATTCCTGAGTCCTTAGGTGCACAGATCAGTCTGTTTTCCTAGAGTGGGGAAGTGAATCTGTGCATGGCCTTTGACACAGATGAAATTTCAGTCCTAAACTGTGCAAGGCATCATTGCAACCTCATTGACCTTCTTTAACATTTCTTCTCTTAAAGTGTGTTCAGATGTTAAATAATGTTGGTGCATGTTCTCCAGCTGCAGGAAATAGAAGTGTCTAGCTCTTCAGTCTCTCTAAAAGGAATCAAGACAAGTGCATTTCTCACTTATTAACAAAAGGCAGGCATTAACATAACTCTGGGGTGTAAATTATACAAATTCTAAAAACATCCAAATGGTCAATAGTATAAGCCCATCCATAGGTTGCTTAACATGACAACTGTGGGGTATTTCACAGGTCCTCCAATCTAGTAGTTTCTACCAGAATGAAGTTTTTCTCCAAATTGAATTTTCTACTGAGTCGTGTGGATGTCTTTTTGTGGCTACCATGGTCTACTGGTAAACATGTACTGAACATTTCTCAGAGAAAAACCATTTTAACCACTTCACATGATACATTAAGTACTTAAGTACACAAAATACTTTTTAAGAAAAAAAAAAGTGTTTCCCTTTTATAGACAATTCTTTGCCTATTCTAGTACAAAGATCGTCATTCTTGTTGAGGATAAATTAGTTCTGTCTTCTGAATTGTCACAACAGCATATCAGATCTCTTTTTTTTTTCAATTATCTTTCAATTAAATTATATATTAAATATATTTAATATACAATATATAATAATATATTTAATATATAAATATATTAAAGATATATTTAATATATATTTATATCTTTAAATATAAAATAATCAGGCATCCATCAGAAAATGCTAATAGAAATTGATTACAATTCAGCATTTGACAAAGACCTTGAATATATAAGCTGTCTGCTACATAAATACTCAAGTCATATTACTTTCCAAAGAAATGCCTTTATTGAGTTAGGATCCTTTATCTTACCATCCATCTTTAACAGAGAAATATTTTTAAAAATCCACCCATTTAAACATTCCAACCATAATTTGAAGATACTACGATTATGTCATGCAATATCATTTAGATAAAAGGACCCAAGCAAAAAGGTGTCCTCAAATTCAGTGCTACTGAACCCCTCTAAAAAAAGAAAAGTTACTTCTTCATCAGTGCCTATAATTTAGATTTATTAGATAGTATAAAACCTGTTTGTCAGGACACTAGGACACCTCTGGTGCCTTTTGTGGTACTTAACTCAGATCGTGTACGCCTTTCTCTGCTCCTGTTTGCTCGCATCTGTCCTATTTTCATTGTCCTCTGATATTGTACTTAATTTTTAACCCAATTAAAATGTTCTGGCAAGTAATGAAATTAAATCTCTCACAAATTGTGGTAGCCTATCAGTAGGGAACTGAGGGGAATAGCAAAAAAGCATTTGACCACAGACAAGTAATTGTGAACTATGCCTCAACTGGAGGGTCGCAGAACAGCGCTAGAGAAGTTACTTTGCCTCTTCCTCCTCCTTCTTGTCTTGTTTTCAGCATTTTATTTGCCTCCACAAAGGTCTCATTGTTAAAGTGACAGCACAGCCCAAAGCAGAATGGATTATTTCTCGGCTTCTCTCTCCATCTGAGGCATAACCTACCTGGGCTGCTAAAAGAGCTCTTTTCTGTCCATTTTCATTAAACCCGTTTCTGGAAGAAAACACAAAGAACTTGTATAGTCAAAGGCCCCTAGGCAACCTGAACAAGCCTTTCCCAAGAGAGAGCTGATGTTTTCCTCCCGATTTCCATCACTTTATCAAAGAGCTCTTTCTTGGTTTAACACTGAAAAGGTCCCCCTCCCCCTTTTGAAGGGGTTAGATTTGCATGGTGGCGCTGTCTCATTTTACAGAATTCGGGAGCGTGCCCAGATCTCTTCAGTCTCTGATGTAAACTGCATTTTAGGAAGGAACTTTGAGATAGAGAAACAAACAAAATAGTGTAACACCGTAGCACCAACATGCGTGATAATTGCTCCACATGCCTTCATAAAATACTCATAAGTATCCGACAAGTGCAGGTTCACTTTTTTCAAATGGAATACTCAATTCTCTCTCTTTTCCATGTCTTCAGATTAACATTACTGTGAGTAAGCACACCAAACCGAATTATCAGAATCAATGGGTAGAATTCTGCTTTTCATCAAACAGATCAGTCTAGTCCAAAAAATAATTTTCATTACTGACTGCTAGAACCATTTTATTCTTTTTATCATTAAAAACTTCTTTAATCTGTTAAGACTATTGCACATTTCTAATCAATGATGCATACTAATAATAACAATAGGAAATTACTGAATATATTAATAATTTCTTTTGAAATGAAAATAGTGTCTCCTTAGTATCCACAGTCATTGGATACCACCAAAAACTCCTCTTATAATTAAAATAAAAGGAAATAATTTTGTTCCATTGATAAGGAAGTAAATGCTTAATAATTTTTATTTGTGGAAATGTTTAAAGAACTACATCTCATGCCCTTGTTTTGTGAAGTATTTCATTAATTTTTTTGAAACCAGATACACAATCTGCTGAGCTTTGCTCATTCCCATTATCTTTATGTTTCAGAGGACATAAAGAACAAGAAATACTCACTTTGATGTTCTCGTCAAGATGGATGATGTACAAATACAGCCTGCCAGAGATAAATATATGTGATAAGAATGAAAAAAATTATCCAAATATCTTGGCTATGTGTTCTGACTATAAAACAAGTTTAAATGTAATTCTCAAATACAGACTGAGATTTTGACCAGCAAATTCCTTATGAACCATCAGGGTGACCAGTAACCCAGAAAAAATGGGCAGTGTACATACCGGGACATGATACAGTAGAATAAGCACTAGTCTTGAAGACAGAGATCCAAGCTTTAGTCCCATCTTACCACTTAGCAAATACCAAAGTTCAGCAAGCACATCGCAAAATGATGGTGTGGGCCAAGTTCATCTTCAAAGTCCCCTCCAACTCTCAACACTCTAAGACTATTTCTCCTTGGAGTTTCAGTCACTACTAAATTGGAAGATAGTTTCTGTAACCATGCTAGCTTTTTACACTTCAGTAATTTTTCCCACTTCCTCTACAAGTCCCAAAATATACAGCCTTTTTCAATGATTAAATGTAAATAAATGTATGGCTAAATGTACATAAATGCTTTCTGCCATAAAAATACTTTATAAAAATTAATTTATAAATATCTTGCTATAATTGAAAATCAATTCTAAGTCTCAAATGTTAAATCCTTCTTAAAACATTCTTTTGCCATTCTTTGACTTGATGACATTAAGAAAGTTTAAGTACTCAGTGTCTCCTTGTCTACTATAAAATTTCAAAATATTTAATTTATACAAATATTTTAATCAGAGCTTCTTCTAGTACAGTTTTATATCATAATAAAATCATGATTTTAACATTTAAAAAAGAGACTCATAAATTTAAAACTAAAAGTTCCAAATTATCTACATTATTAAAAATTTTCCCATAAAATGATCTGAGTATCATTTAGTATATACCCATTCTAACGACTTCAAAGTGCTTTACAGTATAAGAGGAAGCAGTTTCCACCATTTCCAAGAAAGACTAAAAAACAGTAAAATAAGGTAAAAGTTTAATATGAGTTCTTACCTTGTAATGAAAACAGCAGTATATGAAGCAAGAATATACTCCAAGGTATCATTAAATTGCGTTTTCTCACAATGTTCATTTCAGTATAGCCTTTTCCCCTGAAATGTAACTAAATTGTTGGTCTTTACTATGATGGCATCTTAGAAGTATGAGTATTTGTAGAGTGCTCTAATTCTTATAAATATAGCTTTGTAATGAAGGAATTCAGAAAGGAATTCCAGCCTTTCTAACCACATACAGCATCTGAAGCTTTGGAACTTGCAAGCAACCCTTTGGCTGAGTCTCTCATTAGCAATGCACGGCAGCTTCTTACCTGAGCCGGTATTAGTTACACCCTATCTACTCCTGAACATCATACCCTTTGTAGCCTATATTATTAGCCTTTTATGACTTCTAAAGGCAGCAGCATCAAACAAACAAAAAACACTATTATCTCCTGATGTCATAAGAGATAAACATTATTCCTAACTGTTGATCTCTTCCATGTTTTATTCATGAAATAATTACTGTCCTTTGAAGGAAGATGAAATAAAATCCTATCAATCATTCCCTGAATGTCTAGACGTTCTCATAAACTTTTCTTTAAGACTTATAAGTAAACTAAAATTATGTGCATATGTTTTCAACTCTAGTCTCATTACAGTGTAGTTTAAGTTGACCTGTTCATGTGCCCACAGATCTTTCTGTTAAACATTCTTCAATTGAAGCAGAAAATAATACAAAAAGATGATAGTCTAATATTTGATTTTAAAAAGAAAATAAAGTAACTCACCTAATCCCGAAAACCTTCCTTCACACACTGTTTTTCCATCCTCTATGACATGTACCCAATTAGACAACAAGGAAGGACTTCTTAATTCAGCAGAAAGTGTACTCTTCTCTGGAAGTGACTGATTACCTGGATTAGTATCAGAGAACAGCTCTAATATTTCACAATGAACTCCAAAGAAATGAGCTAAGCCCCATAAACGAGTGAAGGCCATGATTGTACAATGAGTGCACATTTCCATAACAGATCCCCTCAGTTACCTGCACAAGTATCAGACTCACTTAGCAGATGGGGACACGGTAGTAGAGAATCTCTAACCACGCAAGAACTACCTTGAGACAAAACCACACAGCAGTTCTTAATATCTTGCTGTACTCAGACACTTTCTTTGCAGTGATTTCCTGGTCTTTTCTGTGAAAATATCCTTAATATCCTGATACATTGCATGCCCAACACCTATTATATAAACAGTTTCCTGTCTATGTCTCAAACTTAATAATCTTTTACTCTTGTTTTACAAGACTTTAATGCCTTTCCACTGCCTATATAATTGCTAATTCTATGAGCCAAGAGAAGATGCTTCCCTCTAAATTCATATTTTAAGCATGAATAAACACATAAACTCCCTCAAAATATAAGTAGCTCTATGCCTACACACACACACACACATATGTGTACACTCATTTTAAAATTTTGATGAATTAGTTTAAATAATTAAAGTGCAGCATGTGTTTAATAAATATTTATTAAAAGGTTATTGGTCATTACTCAAACTACTTAGACAATAAATTGATATAATTCTAAACAGATAGGCCTAATTATTTATAGTTACACTCTAATTATTGGTCTAAAAATATGTATCTACTCAACCACAATTAAAATTAATATTCTACACATTTAAGATGTGAATACAGAATAAATTAAATTTAAAAGCATGAAATTAGTTTAGAGAACAATAATTTTCCTACAAAAAAAATTTTAATTCAATGCACCAAATTTATTTACAACAGAATATTTATTACCTCTTTCTGAAAAGCATGAAAATGTATATAACAAATACACATTACTAAGTCCCCTCCTTAATTTAAAACAGTTTCTCTTAGCTTCATAATTTCCTATAAAAATCAACCTAAAATGTGAAGGTTCTATAAATCATATTTTAGGATTATTTTTTCCTCAATCCGGTAACTGCTTGACTTAAAACTTTTCACAAATCAAAAATGGCAGCCAAAGTTGAATTTCATGGTTCAAAAAAACATTTTGAAAATGTTTACAGTTATTTCTAAATACTACGAGAACTTGGTGAGGAAGGATAAGTAACAGCAATATAAAGCCTGAGAAAAGTATTTACTTCTAATATAATACTTCGACACTTTATGTACTTAATTCAAATGTAAGAACTCTCAACTTTTCACCTCAAATTTCATACAGTATCTTTAAACGTCCAATTCAAAAGCATCGCAACTATTTTCACAAGTTAAAGTTGAAAATTCCAAGGCTATATCATCTGGCATTTTTATTACTCTTATTCTATTTTGAACTCTATATTTGAAACCTATAAATTAATTTGTCTGGTAAAGAAAACAGTAGAAATTACAGTGGGACTTCTCAGGGTGACCATTCCTTTATAGCTAGAGGTTTAGTGTGTGCTGGCTTTCCATTCCTCCTGCACCCAGGTTTAGAGTAGGTGGGAGATTAGGAAAGAATGAACAATGGCAGAGGAAACAATACCAGAAATTCCAAGTTCTTTTTCAAATGACTGTTTTATGAAGTCATTACAGTAAATGGTAGGCTGCATGATATAAGCAAAATAGACTTCCATGAATAGCTACAATAGAGAGCTTAGATGAAAGATTAAACCCAGAACCACACAAAAAAGAAATTTATGACTGCTGCCACTTGAAGTTATTATTGTCAAAATTTAGTTGACAGCTTTTATATTTCATTCTACCCTGACAAAGGAACTCTGGCAAAGAATGAGTCAGTTGCCTGCTTGTGAAGAGATATTAAGTTCATAAAAAGTCTGAGGCAACTACATAATGCATGGGATAAGTAGTTCCCTTTCTGCTACAAGAACACTGCACATTTTCCCACATGGAATATGATCTTTAGAAAGTTGACACCTGACAAACTATTGGCTTCAACACATCACATTAAAAACAACTGGCAGGTATGGGAAATTGTTGAGCTTACAGTTATACATCAATTACAGAGGAATATTTTTAATAAAGTTTATCATCTTTAAGAAAAATTAACTTCTTTGGTGATTTGTATAGCACTCATTTTTCATTCATTGAATTCAAATCTAAAATAGATAACATTTGATTCCCATCATATCACATTCTACTAGTGAAATGCAATTATTCCTCACTTGCTTTACTAAACCTAACACATTTCAGGTTAGTGATTTTATCCAGAATTATGTTATCATTGAGCAGCAAAAAGAATCCTGTATCTTTGATGTGATTTTAACCACTCTGAATTTAACTGCCTTATTATAAAGTAGTTTTTCAGTGTTCTATTTATGCTTTCACGAGGTGTGTTGCTTGGCACTTTCTGGTATTTCATGTAAATTAATTTGCAGATGACATCTATCTTAGTTTTTCTAAATACAGACTGTGTGTCATAAGTAGATCTATATTGGCCATAACTTCAATTTAAAGTTCACCCACAGAAGTTAATGTATTATTTTATAGGGACATTCACTTTTCAAGTTGCTATGGTGCCACTATCTTTCATCTTGAAAGAAGTAATGTTCCTACAACTAAAGTTTCATCTTGCCAACATTTAAGCATCAAGTTCAAGATATAAAACCAGTATTTCCTATAGTTCTCTTTTTTCTAAAGTACTTACATACTATAGGGCATTGCATGTGCATTTATAATATATCATGTAATACACAATGCACTGTATGTATATATAGCAATATAAATTAGGTTGATTTCTCATGTTTTCAATTCTGTTTTAATCTTTGATCATTTTGGATTTATATTTTACAGTTGCTGAGGGATAAAGTTACCTGAATTTCTCAAGGGGAAGAGGTTTCTAACCTTGTTCCTGGTTACATTTGCTTCTCAAACTTAGGGTAAACCACCTCATAGATTTTGTCATTTTGAATTTGGGGTCCATGTGTGGCACAACATGTTCTATGATGATTCTTCACTGCCAAGGGTGAAAATGTGCTCCTCCAAAAAAGAGTTTCTATCTCCTTCTGCCAATTGCTGTAAGGAATTTCATGCAAATTTCTCAACTTGAGAGTTCCCAATGTACTGAGTAAAAATTCAGATCCCAGACTCAAAGTAAGGGAATGCCAAATCTAGTTTCTGCTTTGTTTTTGGCCTCTGGTGATATTCCCTACTTCCATCCAACCACTTAAATAGATGACTATTTTTCTTTTCAGCATGCCCAGGCATTTAATAGCTGACAAATTTTTAGGTCGTTTAATCGGCTGTACTGCCAAAAACAGAACCACCAACAATCAAAAATTATATGCTCTTATTTTCTAGGCTATTACTCTGTATATTTGCAACATACATTCTCAACTGAATTAGACTTTAGTATAGAGCCATCTATGACTTTAATTTTCTGGGCTCCAAAATCACTGCAGATGGTGACTGCAGCCATGAAATTAAAAGACGCTTACTCCTTGGAAGGAAAGTTATGAACAACCTAGAGAGCATATTAAAAAGCAGAGACATTACTTTGCCAACAAAGGTCCATCTAGTCAAGGCTATGGTTTTTTGTAAATATTTACCTCATTAACTCTTGTATTAATGATATCCAAGTTATTCAAAACAAACAATTACAAACTTATAAAGAAAGCATATCAAAACATCTTATACTTGGATCAAACTATTTAAAATATATCAAAACCTGTCAGATCCTTAAATGTCATGGTTGGGATGGCTTCATATAACACCAAGATTCCAACTCAGTCACCTGATGAAAATTTATGACAATAGCCACTGCAACTTACAGCCTGGAGAGTCAAACATCAGCTTATCATCTTCTACCTTTACTATGTTGGCAAGGTTAACACAGAAAAACTGCCTTTAGAGACGGCATCATTGTGGTTTTCAGCAGAGCACAAATCAATATGAAAACATAACTCAAAAAAAAAACTAAGCCCTTCATTGTGACTTGAGAGTCACATGAAGGTCAGATCAGCCCCAAAAAGTGTTTCCCCTTTATCTTGACATGACCTCTTCTCTGGCTCCCAACCTGAATTAGTCTTACTGAGTTACATGCAAAATTGTTATCATTATCTCCCAAAAGTTGCAGTGAAAACATACTAGTTCCCTTGGAAGGTTTTTTTCAGTCTTCTCTTCTAACAATATAAGTTTATCAACTTTGCTGTAGAATACAGAGGTGGTTCTCAAACTTTGGTGTACGCAAGAATCACCTAGGGAGTATATTATAAACACAGATTCCCAAACCCAGCTCCATCACATTCAGTGTTTTCTGATCCATGAATCTAAGGAGGTTAGGCATCTGTGTTGTAAAAGGGAATCTAGCTTTGGGGTGATTAAATACCAAACTAGTCCATTCTATTCCAAAAAAAGAAATGCAAGTGAATTACAAATATGGAGACACTGACAGATCCCCTGGAGGAGAACAAAACAGAGGTTGGAAAAATTAAGTGGAGGTGGAGGGCCAGCCTCATCACCTGCTAGTAAACAGCCCCTTGTTTGGGAAGATGAAATGGGTCTGTTGTTTAATTTGCTAATTTGCTTCCTCCTCTTTCCACACTTCTTATGCAGAGGAATTCCTCCCAGAGGCTACAAAGCTTCTGCTCCATTGGGATCACAACTTTGCAACTCTCACTATGATAGGTGGAATAATGGCTCCCCAAAGACATCCATGTCCTAATTTCCAGAGTATGTGTATTTTGCCTTACACTGCAAAAGAGATTTATGGATGAAATTAAGTTAACTAATTTAATTCCCTGTGGGCCCAATGTAACCACTGAGTCCTTATCAGTGAAAGCAGAAATCAAAAGAATTGGAGTGCAAGAGAGATTCAAAGATGGATGAAGCAGCCATAAGCCATGGATTTCAAGGAGCTTCTAGAAGCAGGCAATGGAAAAGATTCTCTCCTAGAGCTTCCAGAAGGAATGCAGTTCTGCCAACATCTTGATTCTAGTCCAGTGAAACTCATTTCAGATTTCTGACCTCCAGAACCAAAAGATAACAAACTTGTGTTGTTTTTAGCCATTAAGTCTGTGGTCATTTGTTACAGCAGCAATAGGAACTAACATGCACTTACATTCTCTGGCCAAACACTTTAACCTCTGAGCCATCAGGGAAGCCCAACTAGGGACAGGCACTGGATGTTAAACAAAATAATACATGGTAGTCCTACAATGGATCCAGTTCTTTCTCAGGTGTTGAAACACAAATCATAAAGACAAAAGTCACATATTGTCATAAGGCTGTGGGCCCTGGAACATTTTGGTCACACAGAATTAGAGATGGCAGCTATTTTCCAGTCATGTACATATTGTTAAATAAGCAAAGAAAGCTATTCTGCAAAAAGAAATAGGAGAATGGAACGGATGTTCCAAAGGAAGCAGAGAAAGTGATGGTGAGGATGCTTCACATTTTTAGTTTCCATGACTACATCTACCCAATCACTTCCTTTTTACTTGAGTTAACTTGGTTAGCGTTTTATTCCTTGACATGCAATGATCCATAACTGAAACAGAGACACTAAGAAAATGGAGGATGACCATAGTTGATTTTATGTGTTAACTTGACAGAACCACTGGATGCCCAGATATTCAGTTAAATATCAATAGTATTTTGAATGTGTCTGTGAAGGTATTTCTGGATGAGATTAACGTGTGAATTGGTAGACTGAACAAAGCCAATTGCCCTCCCCAGTGAGGGTGGGCCTCATCCAGCCCACTGGAGAACTGCACAGAATAAAGAGGCAAGCAAGGAAGGATTCATTGTCTCTACCTGCCTCCTTTGAACTGGGACATGTGTCCTCTTCTGCCTTCGGATTCAGAGTTGGACAAGAACTATACCATTGGCCCTCCCAGGTCTCTAGCTTGCCAACTACAGATCTTGGGAAAGACCTCCTATCAGCTGTTCAGTTCAGTTCGGTTCAATCACTCAGTCGTGTCTGACTCTTTGCAACCCCATGGACTGCAGCACGTCAGGCCTCCCTGTCCATCACCAACTCACAGAGTTTACTCAAACTTATGTCCATTGAGTCAGTGATGCCATCCAACCATCTCATCTTCTGTCATCCCCTTCTCCTCCTGCCTTCAATCTTTCCCAGCATCAGGGTCTTTTCAAGTGAGTCAGTTCTTTGCATCAGGTGGCCAAAATATCAGAGTTTCAGCTTCAACATCAATCCTTCCAACGAATATTAAGGACTGATTTCCTTTAGGATGGACTGGTTGGAACTCCTTGCAGTCCAAAGGACTCTCAAGAGTCTTCCCCAGCACCACAGTTCAAAAGCATCAATTCTTTGACGCTCAGCTTTCTTTATAGTCCAACTCTCACATCCATACATGACCACTGGAAAAACCATAGCCTTGACTAGATGGACCTTTGTTGGCAAAGTAGTGTCTCTGCTTTTTAATATGCTGTCTAGGTTGTTCATAACTTTCCTTCCAAGGAGTAAGGGTCTTTTTATTTCATGGCTGCAGTCACCATCTTCAGTGACTTTGGAGCCCAAAAAGATAAAGTCTGCCTGTTTCCACTGTTTCTCCATCTATTTTCCACGAAGTGACAGGACCGGATGCCATGATCTTAGTTTTCTGAATGTTGAGCTTTAAGCCAAATTTTTCACTCTCCTCTTTCACTTTCATCAAGAGGCTCTTTAGCTCTTCTTCACTTTCTGCCATAACTGTAAGAGATACTAAAATTAGGTGTGGTTTACTATTCCAAGGTTCCCAAATTGTCTGTTTAGACAGGAAAAAACTACAGAACTAGTGTTAGAAAACGCCGCGGGAAGAAAGAGCCACCTCTAAGGACCGTTGATGAAGGCCTTTATTGAGCGGTCGCTCTCGGGCAGAACTCCCGGGGGCGGGTGAGTGAAGAGACAAAGGGAGTCTGCAACCTGCGGGAAGCGGGGCGGCACCTATATACCCTGGCGGATACGGAAGCGGCGGGACCTTTTCGAATATGCTTGGAGTCAGGCTCTAGGGTGCTGATTGGCCTTTTGTCCCGTGTCGGTTTTTCTTGATTGGCCGGAGTCTTGGCACCTTCGCGTCCATCAGTCTGCCTGGCAAC